CCCGTGCTGCAGATCACAAGTCTCGACGGCAGTTAGAGTCTCGCCGTCTATCGCGCGCTGCGTCAAGGCCATAGTCCTCGCCTGCAAAGGGGTAGGTAATCCTCCACTCCACTGAGCACATTCGGTAGATTGAAGCTCCGTTGCATTTCCTTGCGCTTCTGGTGCTTCAAGCAAACCTGAAAGGTGCTGCCTCTGGCGGGGAGTGAGTGAAGCAGCGAGGAGCTGAAGTAGGAGCTGAAGAGCCTCACTATTTGAATTCGACTCTCCTTTTACAGTGTCGCTTGCAATGCTATTAAAGAATCGTTTTTCCTGCGCTGGCGACCACCAAGCTGCCGGCTGAAAGTACAGGGTTTCAAGCAAGTGGCGGTCTTCGGGTGACAGTGGCCACGGTGGCTCTAAGAAGAGGAGCCGATGAATAGCAACGCGTTGTTTCAATCCGCAATACGGCTTCAGTTGCTCCTCTAGTGCCGCCTGGACATCGCTTCTGCTTTGCTCGTCATCCGCTTCGTATAGGACACGACGAAGGTCATCGAGCACATATGGGGATAAGGGAACACTAAACTTATCCTGAAGGGCTGCAGACGCGTTCAACTGCTGCTCTGAAGACAGAGAATTCGCCAGTGCCCGAAGTAATAGCGTCTTCAGGCTAAGTTCTTCATCAGGTGGAAGGCTTCCGTTGGCTCGTTTCCCTAGCAAGCCGATGAATAGCTGACGTTCAGAAAGTGACAGACAACTGGCCCCTGTATTGCTCAGCAATTCGTGTAACAGCTTCGCTTCTTCATCCATTAGCGGCCCCATTCTTTCGGCGCAAAGAACATGGCGAAGTACATGGAGATCATCCGCAGAGAAGACTTCACACGAGTAGTAGTACAGCATCTCTTGTAGCTTGTCAAGCTCATTAGAAAAAGCTTGAACGCGTAAACACTGAGCTTGAAATATACCTGTAGAGGTATCCCGCTGTGGCATTCGGCCTTTCGCGGGTGCACTGCGGGGTTTCTCACACGTCGCACGTCTCTGAACTGTCGATTGCGTGAAACATACACAGCTCCAGGGACTGAACAAGTACTCTCCATGGTCCTCTTGCCGTGTTCTGGTGCTGAGTACATTCGAGTAAAGCTGGTTACCCTGACTCTTCGATACGTGACCGCCTCGTGTAGCGGTGCAGCAGCACTGTGACTCTCTTGGCCCTGGTAGACAAAAGCCTATGCACTCTTCATTATCCATGTTGCTCAACTCACTGAAACTCCGCTGCTCGCGGATTCTCCCCCGTGTGAAGTGCAGCATCGGTGCGTCAGCGCCACCCTTGTCTCGCCCAAAAGGTGGAGCACCTAATGGGGTATTTTTATCCATTGTTCCTGTATCTGGTGAAATAATGATGAAAAAGAAGGCTTTGAAAAGATATAAGCCGTGAAACGTGCAGAAGTGAGACTGCCAGTTTCGGACACGGCTACCTCGTCGATCGCTCGATAGGGCATGAAGGCCTTGATCACTAGGAACAGCTTCCGCTGCCACATAACAAGAGCCCTAATAACATCTATGAAGAAAATTCTCTCAGCATTGACTTAAATTCGTGCAGCTAAAGGCAGACTGCAGGACTCTAAGCTACAGGGCCCCACGTGCATGAACCACTGGTCCAATGGCTCACTGATGAACCTTGCACACTTGTTGCTGGTCTCTATTATTTCCCAGCGCCTCTATTCAAACATATTTTTGAGAGACATTCACCTGATAAATGTCTTTAAGGCGACGGTTCGCACGAGTTTCACCTCATAGTCCCTACTGCCAATCTGTGTCAGCATGCAGACTGAATGTTGGCAGGCTCTTGTTCACTGTTTTTCCACACTTCAGGACCTTCAACTTTGTGGTTACTTTGACCTGGAAGTTAAGCTGCCTTTCCGAATCTCCGAACACTCATGATGCATAGTTCCTTTACACAGCTGGTGGTGCTGTTGGGTGCATGAGCTCGCGTATAGCCATCAGTTACGCTCCACGGCGTTCCAACAGGACAACCTCTTGGACAGAAAAACTTTTCGTCTCTTCCACAGATTCCCCAATAATAAGTACAGCTCGCTCTAACCAAGCAGAATGTTGCCTGTAGGTCCCGCCTTTTACAGCAGAAAGCGGGTGGAGCACAGGTACCCTTCATCTCTGACGTTATTTCTGCTAAATGACTAGCGGCAGAGCACTTAAACTGTGGCTGAATAGTTGAGGGTTCTCAGTCTCATGCTGCACCTTCACAGAGCTGGGACGTGACCAAATCCTCAATGTAGAAACAATAGATAAGCCTCTCGGCACCAAGGAGTTCTTAATCTGTGTCGTTCTTGATATTTTGGCACGTGATACTAGAAGGTGCCTTCAAAGCAGTGGGGAGACCCCACGAATATCCGAGGAGCAACTGACCCCAAGTACAGTTGTTTGCTCCCATTGCATTTGACATACTGACAACTCGACAAGAGAACAAGAGCTCATCTTGCACATTTAAAACACTGTGCACGAGTAGCGCTCTTCCCTATATAGGCCGCACGAATTATGTTGCTGATCTGTTCGCACGCAGGCTTGTATATTGTGCTTCTTAAATCGTGTCTAACAAAGATCAGAGGGAATAGTGTTCGCGATAAAACATGAATAAGCAAGCAATGAAACCAAACTGTGCTGCGTTAGCTTATTTGCAAGGCGATGCAAGCTATAAAACACGTGGTTCATTGGGGGCGAATCGAGCTGCGCTCCTAGACATAGAGAATGTGGTACTTTGTCTCTACCGAAAGCCACAAGAGCAGTTGGAACGTTCAAGGATACAAAATTTTAGAATGTTTGTGCTTTGTAGGACTTCAGTAAGCGTGACAGCTGGAAGCCAGCAAGGTTGCAATGCGTCTCTACGTCGGCTTCAGAAAGACACCTGGTCAGCAACTAGCTAATTCCCGGCGAGCTTGTGAATATTGAAGCAGTCCAAGGTGACTACTTAAAAGGCGCCAGTACGATGGAGAATTTTATATATGCGGTGTGTAATTTTTAGTGGGCATCGCGCTGCACCTTGCGATGCGATTGGATCCTCATTTCACTTTGTAAAGCAGGTCATGGGCAGATCCAGCTCGACAAATGCGACAAAAAGCTCAAAAGCAATGAACTGGCAAAAACTGTTTCCCCTTCTTGTTCTTCGGCAGGTAGCCACCCCTGACGATGGGTGATGGTGAAACAACTATAGAGAGGCGTAGCCACTATCACTGAATTATCAATAAAAGAGGTAACTCCCTTAACTGAACGCAAACACATGTATCCAGAATTTCTAGAAATAACCTGGAAACTGCTTGTAGGGACGGAAATGAAACCTCTGTCTGGGATGAAAAGGGTTCCCGGCCCTTGTGTAGCTAGTCAGTGCGCGATGCGCAGGACAGGCGGTAGGGTAGGACAACTTTTCCCCACTAGTAAGACGGCAAAAGCCTGCTCAAGAAAAATGAATGACTACCTAACTTTTACTGGACGCAGAAATTCTTGAAGATTCGCTGCGTCCGTGTTGGTGCACCCGCGGAGCGCTCATTGGAACGACAGCTCAGCTGGAGCGTGAAACACCGCTGGCAGAAGCCACAAGAATGGTAGTTGCTGAATAAATCACATCCACAAGTTTGTATTATATTTTGCCACGGTGTGCATCGGCAGGCTATACAGTCTCCACACGCAGCGGCTGTGCGCAGCACTGCAGTGCCGCCCAGAAATGGCCTTCAGGTTCGCATAACTTACATTATGTAGATTTCCGTAAGAATTATTGTGTTTACACACTAATGCTGTAGGCAATCAGTCTCAATGTCCTGTGCAATTAGGCCAAGTTTCACCCATATCTACACTACGCCGTATTGGGGTTAAGACCGGACTGTCTCGGCTGTAGAGTGACACACAAAGTTAATTTTCCTCGCTGCAAGTGTTCTACCACCGTCAGTGGAAATCGGCGGCCCCAAAAAAGAGCTAGGAAAGGCCGTAATACTGGACAGGGTCATAGGATGTACTTCACATGCGTGTGACTGCAAACGGTCACCTACCGTTAGCAGATGGTGCGGAGGGAGTTACAGTAGTTACTAAAAAGAAAAACCAACTAGATGTGAGCGAAGTGCAACTTTGTTGGTGTCTATTGTTGTGGAGCATGACCCTTATCCCACAACGTGCCCATCCAGTCCAGGCCAGCCATGCGTGCTTCACTTTGCAGAACATCATCGTCCATCTTCACTAGCCCAAATCATCTGTATATTAGCAAAAGAATATTTGGTCTGGGACGATTATGAGTAGCTGCTTGTGGCTGCAATTCAACGTCGTTACACTCGCACTGTTGCTCGTACTCAATCGAGGCGGCAGCACTTGGTCGCATGGCACCAGGCCACCAGTTCCTTTGTAGGTCGGCCACGAACTGTTTTCCACCATCGCAAGGTAAATTGGCTTGTTCGAAATTTTAATATGTCATATTAAAGAGCACTAGACATTCCTGAAGGCTTAACAGAGTCATGATTCTCCTCAATGCTCTGCGAGTGGGCTGGTTGTGGCGAGCACGGAGTCAGCAGTAGTGAGCCAGTTTCATAGGAGACCAATGTAACTTCATGTTTTATACTATTTGGAGAAAAATTCAAGATGATCTCAATCTTTTTCGTGTAAGGGCCTCTAAAACTATTTAGATGGGATGGGTGCGTTGTAATGCGCGTGGTTAGCTGACTGCAAGCCGGATTCCCTGGGGAAGTGGTGTTTTATTACCTTACACGAACACCAGGCCCTTGTCGTCACTAGATACTTTCCCTCCTTGCTCCTCATCACCAAGGAGCTGCGGTAACGGGAGCTGCGGCGAATTTTCGAGAGGCACAGCTGCGGCCCAGCCATCGTGTAACGCCTCCTCTTCATCTTCCCGTGCTCTGCATTCACTTTCCCATTGCAACAGAAACATAGCAGGTGCACAAGCACGGCCTAGGCTGGTCTGCTACAGCTGACCGGGTCTTTTAAGGCAGTTTTTCCTGCACTGGTGTTTCATGCGTTTGGCCGACGTCATGCATACCCCTGAGAGACACGACGGTGGCGATGAAGGCTCGCCTCAAGAACGCGAAGAAGGAAGGGTCCAATGGCAAGATGTTTTCACTAAGAGCCTCTTCCTCAATGTTATGGGCCGCACAGAGAGGGCCCTGCGAATGGCGCTTGGTGGTGCCCTGATCATGGCCCTGACAATGTGCGATCTCCCCAACATGGATTATTCCTTCAAGTACATTGGTCCCTTTTTATTTTTTGTCGTGGGCACTCTGGCGCCTCCACTGCTCAGCACAGCAGTCATCATCCTCTTTGCTGGTCTGTTTTGCATTCTTTTGGCGTGCGCAGTGGCAACGGGGCTCTTGTCTTGCCTTCTGGTGAGCAGCGGTGGACAGGCCCTTTGCATTATAGTCTTTGCCTTGTTTGTCTTTTGGGCATCCTTCTTGACTACCAGTAAGACCAAGGAGATGACCCTCATCGGCTCCTACATCCTGCTGTACGCGGTGCCTCTGGCCACCCTGGTCGCTTCCCCTTATGCCTCTGACGGAATAAGACTTGTTTTGACGCCCGAGAGATACGCTGCACTGAAGCAGTTTATGGCAACGAGCAGCATAGCGCATATACTGGACGAAGCCTCCAGCTTCTTGCTGATGCCTTCTGATGTTGTTGCTGAGCTTGTGGCGAAGCTTACAAGCCCTGCAGCTGTTCAGTTCCTGCAGCGTGCTGCTCAGGCACTCCAAATTCAGCTTCCCGCAGTCCCTACAGACCGACCGCTAACTCCGCAACAAGTTATGGGCCTGCTGTTCACCTTTTTCGAAAGCCTGCCACCAAATATGCCTGTTTCTGTTGAGATGAAGCCATCACGAAATGCGGGTCTTAATTTAAGCCAGGACTGGATGTATGACGTCCCACTCTTTGTGGAGGGTGTCGTAGGACAGCAAATTTCAATTGGCGCGAGACCTGGAGCGTGGTTCATCAAGACCATCTGGGTGGCCTCCGGACCAATAGGAATGCTTAGAAACCTTATCATATTCGCATTTCTGGGTTTCGCTATTTATTTGTTAGTCATGTTGGTTCCTCCAATCCGACGGCAACGTGATGTTGCGATACGAGAGATGGCAAATGCTTGCGGCGTCATCCGCCGGTAAGTCAATAGGTTCACTGCTTTTTTTTTTCTGTCGCTGAGCCTTCATATGAAAGTGGTGCGTTTTCGTCTATCGAGCTGGTTAGCGAAATTCGAGAGACAAGGAGTGACTGTGGTGTGATGCAGGGCTCTGCATACGGTGAAGAGCAAGCTGGCTACAACGGAGAATACAAACGATCAGGCAGTGGGTGACGGCGATGGGGCATGCCAGACAGAGCACAACCGTGCTCGCAGTGGAGATTCACTATCTGGGAAAGCAGAAGCGAGTGACTCTGAGATACCAGCTGCAAATGCTCTCGAAAATGTTATTCTCAGCCTGCTTGATGCAGAAAAAGCGATACTATTGTCAGGTATGGAGCCCTTCCTTCTGTACCCTGGCCCTGGAGTGTGGACCATGAAGGTGCTGGATGCTGTACGGAAGAGACTGATTCAGTGCTGCGTTCAGACGCAGCACATGCTGCAGCTACTGCACCACACTGAGAGCCCCATAGGCAGTATGGGTTCGAATCCTCAGCTGGCAGCGGCTGGCAGGACGTTACTAGCCAAGTGCATTAACATGTACGAGCTGTGTGAAGATTTACTTACTACTTTCCCCTCCATCTTTTCCCCCTCCAAAAGCAAGAAGAAAGCAGAGGGGTTGATGCAACAGATGAGTTTGCTCGAAAAGGAAATGCGCACTCTGGCTATGGAGGTCTCCCGGCCATCAGAAACAGACACAGAAAATGCTCTTGTTCAGCTGGAAGCAGATACCGCTGCCTTGTCGAGGTCAAACACTGAACAGCTTACAGACGCTGCCCAAGTTGTAGCCCGCACGCAGTCTTTTGCACGGGCTATGGAGATTCTTCCCGTGGGGCTTGCTGTTACCGCATTTGTTCAAGCTTGTTACTCTGAGCCTTTATGGCTTAGCCGAGTTGTTTGTGCGTTGAGCAAGGCACAGCAGGTCAATACTTTGCATGGATTTGTCATGAACCTTGCTTTTCCGTTCATACCGGTTGTCGTACATTTAAAACGTTTAGTAACTGCGCCAATCTCTGCTTTGGCAGTATGGCGTCATCAGTGGAGAGGACAGCGCGCCTGGTGGAAGGACCCTGAGGCTTGGTATGTCATAAAGTTGGTCATTCCACTTATCGTCATCTTCTCCTGCGGCCTATGTTTGCCGAAGCTGCTCCAGTACTCTTGGGGTAAGAACGCTACTAGAAGTTGCCCTCGCATTATACCTTCTGGCTGAATACCGAAGGAACACTGTAGCTTTCCACAAACAGGAGAAGAATGATCAGTTTAGTAGAATGCGTAGGCTTCATTCGTGTATACATTGCTACTCTTCGCCATTGGCTGCCGTGCTAGAGCCACGCAAGGTATATCTTTGGAGTGAATTTGATGGGTTACACCAAGTGTTGCTGTCTGTTCTGTTGTTGCAGGCGTTGAAGTTACAAGTAGCCCTGTTTTCTTGGATTATTCCGAGCAGGGTGTTACTACGCGCATGGTTCCTTGGTTCTTACTGGGGTACCTAACTGTTCTTCAGACAACATACAACGGCACAGCTCATCGCGGTCTAGCCCGCACACTTGGCATTCTTCTGGGTTCATTCTGTGGGTGGGTTGCATTGTCGTGGTACGAATCGGTAGCTGCACTCATTGCCTTCTGCGCAGTGACAGTGTTCGTCGACATCTTTGCTTTTGCTGATCGTCATCATCCACTTGACGGATTCAGCAGAAGGTGGGGATACATAGGAATGGTCTTCACCTACACACAGGGACTTATTGTCACCCTAGCGTCAGAGGAACTAGGCGGCTTGACAGGTTGGTGCAGCTTACCAGACTCCAAATATCTATGAGCTATGTGTATTCTGTGAACCATCGAACGTCCTCTACTCACGAAATTTCACTCAAATGTACAAAAGGACTGCAGTAGCCTAGAAGTGTAACAGTAGCTAATGTTTACTTCTACTTGCGTGAGCTGAGTCGGTGCCGCATGTATTTTTCTGTGCAGGGAGTCGTGACTACTTGGTCACCACACGCATTCTTAGCAACGTCATGGGCATCCTTTTGGCCATTCTGGTGTCACATCTGCCACCACTAGCAAGCGCAACAACGTGTGCTTGCAATGGGTACTCCCGGGTCATCGAAGGATGCACGAAAGAGGCCAACACGTTGACGCGCACCTTTCTGGCTGTATGCAGCGCGTCAAAAGACGGGCATGAGGCGAACGCTGCTGATACAAATGATGCGACTGAGGTTTTTTCGGCCAGGTAAGCAATGAATCATAGCGGCGTGTTCTGTGCGAAATGGTGCAACTCTCTGTCTTGTGCCGCACAACCATTGCAGTAGACTTTTGGACATGCGGAAGTGATCTTGAACATTGTAGGGCAGTTTGTCAATTTGTGCACGCAGGAAAGACGAAATTGCTGCAGTAATCGGCTCACTAGATTCAGACGTTAAGGAGCAGCTGGGAACAACGTCCATGCTGCTGAGGGAAGGTAGCTACGTCCCGGTCCTCCAGCCATGGCAGGCAGACGTGGCTCTATCAAAAGTTAAAGTGGCGGCAACTTCAATGTTGCTTGAAGCTTATAACGCAGCGCAGCTCGTGAAGGGGCTCTTGGAAGACTTAAGTGAAACCACGGCCGCCACTGATACTGCGGTGGCAGAAGCAAGAGAGCTAGAGTTGCTGCCTATGGCAGGCCCAGCGGCGCGGAGCCCTTCAAGTGAAGGAAATTGCGGGGTGCCAAGGAGCTGGAGTGTGTGTCTATTGCAGCATGGCAACTTTTTGGCTATTAAAGAGCTCTTCAGTTGCACTGCAGGTCAGTATTCGACACTGGCACAATCATGAAGAGAATTTTTACTTCACTGTTGACCTAGGGGCAGTGCAGCCGCTGCTGCTGGCCTTCAGACATATGACAAGTGATCGTGGACGCTGTAGAGCAGTTTTTCAATATGTGCATGCAGTAGAGACGAGATTTCCACATATCGAAGCTTGCTCTGTTGGCGTGTTCGAACATTTGACGCAGGTGGCAAGCTAGGGGAAGCCCTAAGTGCGTTGTGTAGTTCTCTTAGCACCCTTGCTGAGGCAGCAAATGTGGAACTCTGCAAGTCCTTCCCGGCATTCGGAGACAAGCTGATGTGCCACAAAGGACGATATACTCGCCAAGGCGACTCCCCTGAAAGCCCTGAACTAGTGGGTTTTGCTGGCCGTGGGAACTAGCCCACTTTTGGGAAAGTTAGCTATCGCAAGCGTCCATTGAGCCGTTTAGTAGAACAGCGCAAGGTTTCCTTTGCTTTTAGGCAGTCTACTGGCAAGCTTTGTAGCAGGCCAGTGGCTAGCTTGAATCGAGGAAGCTGGAAACTAATGCAGAGGGAAGTCGACTGTAGGTGCCTACGACGAACAGTGGTTTAGTGACTGACTTGTATGGGACATGTGAAGAGCTGCATGGTGGTTTGTGCTGCAGGTATATGAGAGCTGTAGCTCAGCCGTTGACAGCGACGCACGGAGAGTCGTCGAGACGCTCGTCGAGTGCCTGGGGAGCCATTTTGCTGAGCATCGTCTGTCCGCAACAGCTCGCACAGCGTCAGCTTTTGTTGTAATGAAGCTCTTGCACCACCTTCAGAACATGAAACTTAGCATGGATGAAGTCCATGCCGCAGCAGTGAAAGGAGCCAGCAGAGCCAACCGAAGCGCGATCTCCTATTGCCTTCCGACAAGCCGCACGCTGTAGTGCAGTACCCTTCTGGTTGGATCATAGATAGCTAGTAGTAGTGGCGGTGGGCACGACTCACAGCAGTATTTTCGTTGACAAATATTAGCAGTTGCGCCTGCGCGTAAATGCTTATTGATGTGTGTAGTCCCATGAAGCGTATGCTCAAGTGCAGTCGTGCATAGTTAACAATGATTGCACTTTGAAAATATTTGACTGCTTATTTGTCGAATTGTAAAAGTGAATGGCTTTACTTGACTTTGCAATCCTCTACAAATTTGAAGTAGTGGTTTGCGCGGCAGTGATCTTGTTTGTCCAGAGCTTTCTAAAGACAAAACATTGACGCATTTTGATTGAGATGAATAAACAAGAAACGAGAAAGACAACGGACTAGCAGAGACGTATAATCGCGCTAAAATTGCCGTAACTGTGTAGGAGCAGCATATGTGCAGCAGCGAAGCTGATGCCCGCGTAGGGCTTCGCCCTACGCCGGCAACTAGGATGTGGGCGAATCCCGCAAATCCTATATGCCTCTGCTACTTGCAAAAGCAGATTTGTCAGGCCGAGTCCAATGTCGGGAAGGTGGCGATGGCTACTTGTTCATGCGGGCTGGTGACACTACGATTCCCATGCAGTTGTGTGTCCTAGCCTTACTATGCGGCATTACGTATCACAGTTGCCACTCCACCAACCCTAGAGGAAATGGCTGGTAGCTTCATGTACCGTTTGGAAGAAGCCCACTGCATTTTACGCCCCTTCTTACTCGTCAGCCAAGCGTAGCGCGGAATTCATCCCCTCACGTAGGCTCCGACGGAGGAGCGATGCGCGATGAGGCACTGACAAATACGGGTAAATCTACGGCCTTCCTGATTACTCAAAGTTCGTTTCATAATTACGTGAAAGAAGCTCGCACTTTTTCACTTCTGCAGTGCCATGCTACTGTCAATTCAACCCCTTCCACTCGTGACGGTGCGTTGCAATGCACTCTAGCCATAGACATCATTGCCGACATCCCGAAAAGCCAAAAAAGCTACTAAAAAATTTGGGTTTCAATAACGGCAGGGACTTCCGCAGCTTCCCGGAGAGTCCGTAACTATGTCAGTGCAACTACTGTAAATGGTTATGCACTTCATCAAACCGTCAGCCTGCGCTGCACAGGCCGCAGCTGATGAAATCATGGCTCCCGTTTAATCCGCAAAATTTCGGAGTTCCTCCTGTCGTCCCGCGTTTCGCTGCGCCGGCGGTGGTGTTGCCTCTCTTCCCTTGCTCTGTCTTCTTCCAGCAGCTCCTTCTTGACTCCTCTTTGGTTTCCACTACCTCTTCCCTCTCTGGGGCTGTAATGTCCGCTGTCCCTTCTACTTACGGACACCTCACGGCTCCGTCTCCTGCTGCGCGACCTCCGTTCCTCTCTCTTAACGTTTTCATGCAGTCCCTTGTACTCCTTGCCTTCCCTTTCACTATTCGAACGGAGCTGCCCGCCATCTTTTTCGGATTCTCTTGTATGCCGCTGCCTACGGTCGCTGTCTTCTCCAGTAGCCCGGCTGCTCCTGTGCCTGCGCCGCTCCTGCCTCTCCTCCTGATTTGGCTGAGAGTGCGACCGCCGGCGCCTCTTGTGGCTGTGTCTTTCGCGGCTGTGGGAATGGCTGCGCTTGCGGGAAGCGTCGTCAGCCTGTTTCCTGCGTCCCTGCCTTCTTGTTAGCTCGTCGGAGTGCAAAGTTCTCTCCACGGGAAGTCTCTCTTCTGATGGAGGTCTCTTTGTCCTCACACTTTTCCAGTCTTCTCTGCGGGGGCTGGTACTGGCTTCACGGCTGCGCCTGTGGTGCCTGTCTTCTGAGGGAGGCGTCTTAGTTCGCACGCCTGTCAGCCGTTCTCCACTGCAAGGGCTTTTGCTGGTGCGCCTGTGGTGGAGCCCGTCATCCCTATCTTTTCGTCGTTTGCTTTCGCGATCACTTCCGCTGCTTCTTCCAGCTGAGGAAGAGCGTCCACGGGCAGAGGGGGAAGTGCTGCGGCGCTCTCTCTTTAGTTTCCGGAGAAGCCGCGCTTCTTTCTTTTGTTCTTTCTTTTTCAGCTTTTTCAATTTCCTGACCAAAACCAAAACGAGAGGCAAATAGCATACCACACAGCTGCCTCGATACACATGCGACTAGAGGGAGCAGCAACAGAGGCAAAACCTGGTCAAGCTGCTCACTTCTGCTCTTTCTTTAGCTTCTTGAGAGCCTTCTGAGCATCACGGTCTACTGCAGGAGCCTCAGACTTCGCCGCGGGGCCAGACCGTGGGGCTGCTTCGTCTGCCAATGCCTCTCCAGCGAGCAGATGGCGAGGCCGGCGCCCCCTATTCGAAAAAACCAACAGAAAAAATATAAACAGAATAAAAATCAACCAAAAGCGTACAAACGCACCAGAGTGAACCCGGGCTGCACAGACGCCACGCAACAATGCTGTGCGCTTACAGAGCTTCATCAAGTAGTTGCTGCTCAAACCGTTTCACTCTTTGCAGTTCTTCATCCTCTCCTCCCTTCTGCGGCCCCGTATCCTTCTTTTTTGTCCACCAATCAAACTTTTCAAACTTCCCTCCAGTAGTGCAGATGCCCACCTTGGCGCTCGCCCCTTCGGATGTCAAATCGCACTACTGCTTTGCAAAGAGATTATCTTCACAGAATAAAGTAAATAGTATTATGAAGTGATAGCTCAACAGTTCGCGACGGAGTAAAAACACCGAAGGCTAAACCCCACCGACACGGTGGGCAACAGAGCAAGACTAATACGCGCGCTGCTGGCCGTGAAAAACTCGGGACAACCTTCCCCACGCGCTATCACTTGGCCTTAATGCATATACGTTCCATAGCAAAACAGAGGGCACTCATGCTCACCGAGATAATAGTCGCGATCAGCGTTGGACTGTGTCTTCAGGGATTCCCACTTGAAGTCTTCCCACCCTCCCCGTACTCCCTCACGCGGAGGGCTCTGCTTGATGTAGACAGCCATTGCGCTTAGCGGTTTTACCCTTACTGTGGCAGCAGGCTCGCTCACGCGCCTTCACACATGAGGCAAAGGAGCTGCTCATCACAAGTAGTGTACGAATGCATCATCGACAATCGATGTTGCACACGTCGTTCGATTTTGTTAGAAGACAGCAAGCTCTTTTGTCTCTAATCTGAAAAAGATTTGAGAAACACGATAGCAAATACCAATGGGGCTTTGCATGCAGCCACACAGCGCATTGAGTAAACAAGGCGAAATCCCCTCGGCGTGCTCAGTAACCCACCGTGGGTTACTGAGACCGTTGAGTTCATTTTGTCTTTGTTTATTCTCGTGTCTCAAGCTACTACGTAACACACAACATGTATTATGAATGGATTCAGCGCGGACTTTTAGAGGCCTCGGCGGCGGGGGACGGGCGCCAGGAAATCTTGGCGGGAAACTCGTGGGCTGGCCAGTGGTCTATTCTAGTTTTGGGCCCTCATAGGTCCCGTAGTGGCTTAAGCGGCATCTGCTTCAGCGTGTAGTGTTAAGAGGGAAAACATTGGAAAAGCTGCTTCAACCGCCATAGATGTCATTTCATCGGTGCATCATTTTTAGACGCTGCATTTTTCCCCGTTTCTTCAGCAAAATTTGCGCTTTTTACAGCTGTAACGGTATATTGAATGTGCGCACAGTGCACGTCATGCTTGTTTAAGTCACACAACGGAGCACGATGGACAGCAGTTAGAGTTGCCAGTGTTTACCTGACAATGTTGGCCACACACACTGTACAGAGGGCCACAATCCATGTCCAGCGCATTTTGCTTAGATTTGTTGTCGAAACACTGAGAAAAGAGACTCTGGGAATCGTGGCTCTGGGGTCAATGTGTGTACAACTGCTTCGACGCGATGCACGTTCAGTGTGTTTTTCTCAGATGCCCCATTTCTGTATCTTTTCACTTGCTGTGTATTTATATTTTTCTGTGGCTACGTTAAGCTTTGTAATGGCTGTGCATTAGCTTCTATACTGCCAAATCCTGATAAAGAATAAACAGTCAATATGAAATTCCAAAATGTCAAGGAATTGGGAAGCTGTGTTCCTGTACTCAGCGCAGCGAGTCGAAGAGGCGCTGACGGTTCACCACAGTAGATCCCTGACAATTGATTAGCCCAGTTTGTGAGCAAATGTGCATCTAAAACGTATTCTCCCATCTCCACATTGCCAGCTGTTGCGGCCTCTGCGTGGCTTGACGTGTAGTCACAAGGTATCAGAGGGGAATCGCCCGCAGCCAGCATGAGCGGGATCCGTGTAGAGTCAGCAGCAGCAAGAACTAGCGTATTGAATCCACTTTGCAGAAAATGCAGACGTAAGACAACAGCTCAACGCATTCTTACAAGAGTGTTCCTGACCGCTGGCAGCATTAAAGCCAGGGACCAACACAAGCAGCTGCTGCTTCACTTTTCTCCGGAAATCTGTTCCCAAAACGGAAGTTGGTCCCTGCAGAGTCAGTGGTCTTAGGCACATGAAGCACTTGAAAAAGGAAATCAAGATTTTCTCCAAAACGCCGTCTATTATCCGATGGCCCACAGTAGTCGCTCTGACGTCGGCGGGGCTTCCGCTGGTGGAATGTTAAGCAGCGAGTTGCACAGGCAGGTAGCCATCCGTTACAGCCGTAACATTTGCTGCCTGCGCTTGTGGCGCTTCCCTTCGTGCTTTCATTCTGCTGATCGTAAGAACTTTAGCTCTACGTGCGTATTTCTTGGCGACCGCTAGCGTACTGATCATGCAGCGGTCGTTCATGCGGGAAGGAGACCGACCCCTGAGGTTTAGGGCCAGAGGCGCAGCCCCTGATATGCCTTCTTCTCTCATACCATACTCAGGAAAAAGGCGAGTGATCTGTGGGAAGCACTGCGGAATCCGCGCGAACAAGAGGCCCACGAAGCCGATAAGAAGGCTCAGGCACCACTGTTGCCACGTGAGGCCCTGCGACAAAAACACAGGGGTGAAAACCCAATGAAGAAATGGCTTGAAACTGCGAATGCGGGCATCTAAAGCACTGTCGAATTTTAGCCCAAAACTGCCCAGAAGAGATCTCATTGTGGCTCACCTCACGGTGACAGCCCAACATAGCTCCACCATACTCCACCATTAGGACTTGCGAGAAGAGAATAAATAACCAAATAAAGAACCCCATAGGGTTGCTTGTCATTTTGACAAAGAGCCGCGGTAGAGACATTTTCTTAGCAAAGTCTTCCTCTACGTCCCTTGCACTGATCATGTTGAAAAGCTGCATCAGCACAAATGTATTAAACACAAATGTCAGGTGTCGTGAAGGCCCAATTACTCCAACCCAACGCTCCTCATAGTCTTCTTCGGTAGAAAACAATTTAAACCGTCGGCCAGATCGCATGAGGCTTCCTTGCCCTAAATTCACAGAAACATAGGAAGAGCCGTGCATTGTATCCTTGCGATACACATTTATACTTATTCACTTTTGTGCCTTCTACAACTGGTCCTACATTTTATGGATGCAGGGCTGGGGTTGGTCTACTGTAATTCGTCGCACCTGTGACAGGATCGCAGTCGGAGAATTCGCAAAAGTCATTTTGGGTCCTGTCTGCCGGCAAGAGGTACCCCCACTCTGTTTCTGGGAGGAAAGAGTCTCCATAGAAGATGAGCAACACCATAACTACAAGCTGATACACGGCTGACGTCGTGATTGTGAGAGCCATCGACCTGGAGATCAGCGACTGGTGCCTGTGGTGAGGTTTCTGTTTTAGCAGGTCTGGCGTGGGAAGTTCTGTCGCAAGAGCCAGAGAAGCAAAGCTATCCATGATGAGATTTACCCACAGCATCTGCACCGCAGTTAGGGGGGAGTCGCGCAGCAGTGCAGCGCAGATGATGGTGGTGATGACGGCTACCACGTTGACGGTGAGCTGAAACTGCAAGAAGCGCCGAATGTTGCTGTACACGTTCCGCCCCCATTTCACGGCTTGCACTATACACTGGAAGTTGTCGTCTAGCATTACAATGTCTGCTGCTTGCTTGGCTACCTCTTTGCCCGTGATGCCCATGGCCAAGCCCACGTCAGCCTTCTTCAGCGCCGGCGCATCATTCGTCCCGTCTCCAGTGACAGCCACTACCTGCCCCAGTTGTTTCAAAGCAGTGACTAAAACGTACTTATCTGATGGCTGAGATCTTGCGAGCACCTGAAGGCGCCGCCATATCCTCTCAAATGCATCCATATTTCCAATAACATCAACTCGCAGGTTCTTTCCCTCTGCTTCTGCGGTCTTGGCATCTGTGGCGCAGCCGCACATTGCCGTTCTGCAGGTTTGGCAAATGACCCCTCCCACAAGCTTTGTGAAATCAGGACCCAGCATTGCCAGATCTCCCCTTTCTTCGTTGAATATGTGGCACTTCTTTGCGATAGCCTTTGCGGTTATCAGGTTGTCTCCTGTCACCATCCTCACATTGATTCCCGCTTGGTGACATTTCTCTACAGCTTCTGGAACTTCGTCTCTGACTGGATCCATGATTCCAAAAATGCCAAGGCAGACCAGATCCTGCTCAGCAACTAGGAATTGCTGGTTAGGAGCGTGCTGTTTCTCTTCCCAGTCAGGGACATCATCCATGCTAAGGTCTCTGTATGCTATGCATATAGTCCGCAGGGCTTCGCGGGCCATTCCATCGATGACTTGGTCTTCTATTGCAGCTTTGTGTTCTTGCTGAATCTTTTGGATATCGCCGTCAGAATTCATAAGATAGTTGCACAGGTTCAGCACCCGCTCAGCTGCGCCCTTCACATAAACGCGCAAGCGGGCATCGCCGCCGCCATCCAGGTGGACGATGGTGGTCATCATCTTACGGTCGCTTGAAAAATCCTCCCTGTGGGCTATGAGTGAATCAGAGCCCTTCAGCCTTCGTGTTTCTGCATAGTCTGCACCGCAGATAAAATCGTTAAATTCCAGCAAGGCACACTCAGTTGCTGATCCGACATATTTCACAGTATACTTAGGGGTCTCCTGGCCGTTGTTAAGGGTCATCACTTCCATTTTTTCAAGGTATGCAGTTGAGTTCAGTGAAATGCTTTCAGAAATCAGATTCCACTTCTCGGTATGCTCATTGAACCCCGCCACACCCACCGTGTTTGGCCCTGCGAAAGAAGCTGAGGGGATATGCACAACCTTAGATCCATTCCAGAATGCAACGGCACTCATTTGATTTCGTGTAAGGGTGCCCGTCTTGTCGGAGCACACTTCATTAGCGGAACCCATTGTCTCGCAAGCTCCTAGCCGCCTCACGTAGTTCTGGTCCGCCAGCATTTGCCCAATCGAATATGCCAGGGATATGGTGACAGCCAGAGGCAGCCCCTCGGGCACAGCAACGACGAGGACGGTGATGGCTGTGACAAAGAAGTGAACGTGACTGCCGATTATGGCCACGATTGGAGGCCGCTGGTCGGGTTCAGTGTACATGAAAATGACCCAATATTCCAATACGAGGATGCAGAGCGCAATGATAGCACATACAAGCCCGAAATTGCCGATGTCGCCAGCAAGAGCATTCAGTTTCAGTTGCAATGGAGTTGCTTCCGTGTCGAACGAAAGTTTCTGGTATAGTTGCCCAGACTGCGAGTGTTGCCCGACAGCAATGACGATGGCACTGCCGCTTCCGCTGTTCACAGTTGTTCCTGACAGCACCACAGGCGAGGAAAAGAAGTGGTGCTGCATCGACCTCGGACTCCTTGTATCTCCGTCAGCAATCTGTGCTATGCAGCCATCATACGTGTCTTTCTTGATCATTTCGGATTCGCCTGTCAACGAGGACTCGTCCATCCGTAGACTCCGGCAAGATACTACAATGCAATCCGCCGGCAGCTCATCCCCTGCTTCAAATTGCAGCAAATCTCCCAGCACGAGATCAAACACAGAAACTTGAGTAGGACATCCATCTCTCAAGACTGTGCAGTTCTTGTCATCTTTTACTGCAGAGAGCTGACGGAACTGCTGCTCCTTCATCCAGTCGTTTCCAGCCGTCACGAGTACGACTACCAAAACAGCAACCCATATAGCAGCCCCCTCCATCCATTCCACTTGGGGATTTTCACCAAAGAGCTGAGAGAGGACAATTGAGGCGAGGCCGCAAACCATAAGGATCTGCAAGGTGTTGTCGGACGCAGCATCAATGCAAAGACTAAGGAAAGAAGCAGAGGCGCGAGAGGGAAGCCGATTGACCCCAAACAACTTCCGACGGTGTTCGATGTCTTGGGGGTCTGAAAGCCCCACAGAACGCTGCACATGCAACATATGTGCAATGCCGTCCGCTCCTCCCATGTTCTTCAGCATAGTCAGATCTTCACATTGGGTCCTTGTCACATAAGCCTTTACCAGGCCCGTCAGTTTCTCCCTTATATCTTCAGCCTGCTCGGGCGATATGTGCTCCAAGAGCCCCTCCTCAACAGTGCCAAATGACCCTTCCGCGGATGAGTCCCTGCGGCTGAGCCGCCGGGAATAGTAGGTGCGGGTAAGTTGCGGACTGAGCTGTCTCCTTTCCTCGTAGCTGTCTACGGCGCAGCAGAGCCTCCCTGCAATCAGAAGAGCCAGGCCCAGCCACAGCAGCAGCCCAACAGGGCCGCATAGCTGTACTGAGAAGAAAAAAACGGCAAGGACGGAAGCCAATTCGCTGATACGCCAAGCCTGGGGCCCCAACGCCTTCATGAGCTGGTTACTGACCACGCTCTTAAAAAAGGGAACTGTACCCGCGGTGATCCAGCAGCCCAATATAAGCCACTCGTGGAGGTCGAAAGAAGTCAGTTTACTAAAAGAGACGAGCTCAGGCTGCTCGTCAGCCAACCATATCACAAGCGGCAGCACCAAGACACCAGTTAGACTGCAGGCTGCGGTCAAGGAGCCCTCATCAGACCCGCTCATGTGTATTGCGCGCGGCATGTAGGCCCCCCTGTAGATAGCTGAGGTCACAGCCAAGAGAATGCAGTAATAGAATTCCAAGTAACCGATTGAGAAGAAACACGAAGCTGCCAGCAAACAAACGGCGCCCCATCGCAGTGGCGTATACTGCGTCTGGCATCCTGTAGACCTAAACATATGATGGAAGGCCACCAAAAGCCCTGAGGCGACAGGGAGGGCAGCTGGATGCACTATATCCGAAATCACGCTGTTAGACACTGCGTGGAAGGCGCAGTATGCAAGCGAATAGGGCAGCAGCTGGACAAACCACTTGAAGCCCCCTAGTTTGACTGGAGGGAAAATCGCAGCCCGAGGGAACGACACACCCAGCTCTCCAACTATGGAGGCACTGATGAGTAACTGCAGCAGCTGCCACCATGTCAGGAACAGCGGCGTCGGATAGTAAGTAAGGAGGCAGTAAGATACAAGAACCTGCGATACTGTGAGAGCTACACAGGCAGTCAAGAGAAACACTTCGCCTGCTGTCCAACTGAACTCAGTGAAGACGCCTCCCAGGTTTCGAAAGAAGTTGCCCAATGGGCCTGCCGATTCCGTCATCGTGAATTCATGCTCATTTCAAACGCGAAAACCTCAGGCCTGCAGGGCGCGGCTCCCCGTCCGAGAGCCAAGCCGAGCTGAATGTGCCCTGCAGGCCACCGTTCAGCTGAAATTGTCCCAAACTGAATTTGAGCCTACGCTGGTTGTGTATCGTCAGCCTTTGAAGCCAAACTGCGATGATGGGAGAACAGCAAGAGGCTCAGAACGCATAGCCATGCACCCCAAAAAACGGATTAATAAAGAAAAATGAATGTTTTTTCGTATGACAAGAATATTTGTTGAGAAATGCTTAAGTCGTCCTTTGGCGTGAAAGGTCCGCTGGTGCCGCCGGGAGAAAGAGCAGAGGACTCGCTGTAGTCGGCAGCTGTTACTGGGAAGGCGCTGCGCCAACGATTCACAAATAAGTATGGAGAGACAGCCTCAAGTTCCGTTGCTTTTTTTTACAATGTTTGCATGCGGTGCCATACTGCAAAAACAAATGACCTCAATAGCACAGCTCACAGGCACCGCCGCTGCGGTCGCCGACTGAGGCAATCACTGGCTGCTGGTCACAGCCGTCGGCGGTGCTCCGCTGTGAGCTGTCTACGCACTTCAACCACTACTGAAGTTTCCCTTTACTAAAAATTAATGAAAACACTTACACGCATGCAACAGCAGGTACTTAGGAATTGCAAGAACGCACTTGCGAGAAAGACCGTCGGGGCCTGCGCCACCCGCTGAGAACCGCACTCGAACAGCAGCGGGGCTTCTTCTAGCCACCTCATCTGTGGCATAGCTCGAAACATCCCTTCAATCATCATTATTTCTTTGGTTGTTTTATAGCTTCCGTGTGCTTGCGACCGAGCGCCGTGGACCAGTCAGTGGACCACCGACTGCTGCAAGACACTGCTGCTCGCGCAGCAAGGGCTGGGTTTACGGTTAAGCGCTTAGGGCTGGGCCACAAGCTCCGTATCCTGCTCAACTTGTATATGCCCAGAAAAAATAGCTGTCAATTCGTGTAAAATTTCTCTCGTTTTCCATAACCAAATAGGAATATAGCGGGCTACTCGAAAATGCATCAAAACAGAGCTCGAAGTTGATTATTTCATAGCGGAAAATACAACTTTCACACCAAACACCTAAACCAAAGGCAGCAGCTAGGCCGAACAGAACAAGCTTTGATATTTTTGCATGGTTCAGCCAAAGCTACAAAGATTTCGGCAATATGCCACTGGTAGCTGCCCAGAGGATAGACCCTTTTGCTGTTGGGAGGCTCACCGAAAACCTAGAAGCTAGAAGAGCACGTCAGCACGAACGGAGACTTGTGCTAAGCGTTTCCCGCTGTCGCAGTAAGGAACGCGGAACAGTGCGGACTCAGCGGATAGAAGTGGCACACGCCTTAGTAGGAGTGGGCGATGGGCAACCTGTGATGTTCCAAAGCCGAAGCACTTCCAACCCCTAAATTTCGGCCCCTGAAGCATGCCATCTTATTCAGGTGTCACTTTAGTCAGTACAGCCACAAGAGTAAACTTCAAGGGGTAATGGTGTGCACGTGCACGCAAACGTCTCGTTGTGTTGATGAGTCCGTGCCGGGCAGCTTGCACTTACAATTGTTTCCAAGTCCTTTGCATGAGCCTCAGAAAAAATGAGGCCACCTTTTATACTGTTGCTCCCCTGGGGGAGGTGGCTTCCATTTGAAGTGTCTTGACGCATTGTGCTGCATTTTCAAGCGGCAGACCGTTCATAGAAGAGGCCAAGAGCAGGCCCCAGGCTGTTTCAGTAGTGATTCTTTCAGTTAGTAGTGACAGCCGCGACGTGCTTTTGCACAGAAGAAGTCAACAAACACCTTATGGCTCTCTTATCTACCTCCGCATCCACCAGAAATCACTTCTGGGTGCCCACAGGAACGAATTAGTCTTCGCATGCTTCACATCTACTTGGCTAGACCACAACTTGGAGAATCGCGTAGTGCTAGCCATCAGCTGCAAGTTGTATATCTTCAGCCCCTAGGCCTGATTCAGAGGACCTACACGCTACGCCGTAGTCCTACTCCTCCTCCTGGCTGCCGGGGATGGCTCAACAGAACACAGATTGAATAATTCAAGTCCACACACACACAGAAATCAACAAGGTCTATTATGCCAACCAACTCCATCTTAAAATGATGCAGATACGAAGTACTCAGAGAGCCACAGGACAGTTGCTGATCTATGACTTAGTCAAGCTGAAAGCGGCAGTCGTCATGGGGAACTTTGATTCTGCAGGGGCAGTTTTTGTCCTATGGCTCTCTGAGTACTTCGAATCTGCATCATTTTAAGATGGAGTTGGTTGGCATAATAGACCTTGTTGATTTCTGAATTTGGTTGGCATAATAGACCTTGTTGATTTCTGTGTGTGTGTGGGCTTGAATTATTGTGGTGTTGTCTGTCGATGTAGTGGTGAACGTGTGGATCGCCTATAGAAGTTATCCCGTTCGAGTACAGTCGACCCATGCTATGTTATGTTGGCCACTGCTTCTGTGGCATTAGTTGCTTAGAAGCGTCTGGGGCCTATGGTTTTTTAAAATTTGCACAACTAGCACTATAAGCAGATATACTGAGATCTGGCTGAGCGCGTCCTGCTAGTTCTAGCTGCTTTCAAGGCCTTTTCATAATGCGTGTCACTGCTACATTGCACTGGAAGCCTGGGGGTTTCTAAAGTATTGCAGGACGCTGGTCCACTCAAGGATAAGACATATGCTTTTGGACTCTTTCAATCAGAAGAGGCGCGACTGTTGAAAGCAGCTCAACAGTGACAGTTTGCGCAGAAACAGCACTCAAGAACCTGAAGTAGCTATCACCTGCAGGCTTTGAGGGTATTCAAGAGGCTTTCTAGACTCTTTTATAGGTCACTTAAGTCCATCAGTACGAGCTGCATTGCCTCAATTCAATTTCCTTCTTTCTGCCGCAAGAGTGCTCATGCTCTTGTGCAATATTTCAGCCTATTTTGTCGGATAAGTTTCATATCTGTTGAATATCTGAGTTTTCATCCTCGTGGCTTCATATATGGAGCTTACCACTCATATGAGGTTCCCCTCGTCTCAACAAATTAGATTGTTTGCTCACTAGTTTTACGTTCACATTTCCGTCTGCGTATGCCTCGCTGCCCCGATTTAAAATTTTTCTAGGTGATTTCTATTCTTAATTTGGGATATTTGTGGATTCAATTCTTCCAATTATGAAGCACTCAGATCACTCTTTACTGTGTACAGGGTGTAGATTTGCTTCTGTGTAGAAGTAGCAGGCTTTTCTAAGTCCAGGTGGTCGCATATTGCTTGTGTAATCTCTCCTTCCAAAAGTGGTGACAGCATTTAAAACGTCTTTGGCCCTGTTCTTAGCTCATCCTGTGCTTCGAAACCTAATCCATCTGTGAGTTCGTAACTCCGAAGATGTTTCCGGTCCTGTGACTGAGCAGTTGCCTGGATTGCTTAGTTGCAGCTGTCTTTATTATATTGAGCACACAAATTCCTCGTGGGACAATGCATTCGTGGTAGAGCCTCCTGGTGTTCAAACTTAGATGTAAGAAGAGGCTCAGCTTGCACTGAGAAGAAATATCCATTCAGTAAAACGGCATTACAGCTTATTTCGATATATACTTGAGAAAAAAGGCTGCAGAACCTTGCTATTGCTCAAGGGGCGAGGAATTTCTTCTCTATTTCCTGTTGGATTGAATGCGGATCTAATTTGCTGCCTTGCTTTCTATGTGATGAGTCCTTCCAACTGAGCTGCAGAGGCCGTTAACCGTTAGTGCGTCCTTCATTTATTTTTATTCTAGCTGGTTACGCGTCGCTTCAATCGTTTCACATCCCCTTACTCACTCCGAATACAGGCAATGCACGAACTCCCGATCTAGAGAATGTGTACTGGTATTGCTTGAATTTCGTTTCTTATATGGGCATTCATCCAACACGCTAAGAAAAAATTATTATTTAAGAGTTTAAAAGAGAAACAATTGCTTCTGTCACGTTGAAGTGAGCTTGGTTCTGGAGGCTCCCATTCTTTGGCCAGGGCTGCGCCGCCAGCGGACCGGTTCAGCTGCGATCGGCTCCCCAAAGGATATGAGGTAAATGAAGGAATAAGCAGATAGCTGAAATGCAGTAAAACCTTGAGTGCAGCTGTTGCGTGGAGTTGCAAGGCTCCCAGAACACTGTGTTCGCGCCTCCCTGTTAACACCTAAGGCAACGAACTGGCGATAAATTACCCACTAAACAATGCGTTACTGGCTGGAGAAGAGCAGTAGAAGCGTCACATCTGTAGAAAATAGAAGAATAGTTACCCTAGAACTTCACTATTGCTGCGGGGTTGCAAGTGCACTCCATTTCGGCGCTGGCTCAACTTGATCTGCGTCTGGTATTGCGACCACGACTACTTGATAACGCGGAGCACCGGAGTAGCCTCTTTTCCCTCTTATGCCACTTTCATTTATTTCATTCGATATTGACGGCCCGTTCAAGTCGCTCCGACCCTAAACGCACGTGCCTCAGCTCGTCAGGCCCGACAGGGGATTCATCACGTGCATCTTAAGTAGGCGTGCACCTTCAGTAAAACTGCTTGAGGGCCGTTGCAAACTGTTAAAGGAAAGCCATGCTTAGGCCTCCCTAGCTCACAGAGCCCTGCGTACTGAGCACGCAGCTAAAATTTACACAGAACGATAACGGCACAACGTGCTCTGCGCAGGCATGGTGGATACTTAAAAAGATGGCCTGCCATGTTCCAACTGCACTGGCTAGTCGCTAATAGTGACTCTAAAAATAGCAAATAGGCAGTATGCCTCGTATAGGTTTGATATTTTTAGTTATGTCTTGCGGTCAGTGGGTTTTGTGGACACCTTGCAGTGAGCGACCCGCCGAATTGGGCACTGTCGGCGGTGATTTTTGAGCGCTTTCGAAAGAGCGAGTGTAAAATTAAGAAGGAAGCTTAAATCTGCAAACGAGTAAAAGAAACCGTGGAAGAGTAACACCGAGAGCAGCGGATCAAGTCAGGTATCGGTGGCGAGGAGCCCCCTGTAGGGCGTGGTGTATGGACAAGAAAAGACAGGCAACGGCTCGTTTTGGCTCGTGCTAGCCCTCTATTTTCACAAATATTGCAACTATAAATCTCCACCACGTTCGTCTTTGTGGCGGTTCGGGCCCTTGCCACGTGGCCACCTGTGCCGTGCTGGTAGCAGCACGAACGTACCCGGAACTCCGCCCAGGGTAGACGATCATCGCTTTCTTCTATTCTGCATTGAGCCCCAGACTCTCCTGTCGTATTTCAGCTTCCCGAGGAGCTCATAGGCGCAAAGACAGCAGCAGCAACAGCAGCTTGAGCAGCTGCGGCGGGAGCAGGAGCAGCAGGAGGAAGCAATGCCCGTTTCCTGGGAGCGAGACTTGGGCGAGGCGTGTGTGGTCGACAGGGGCAGCCCCAACGTGGAGCGCAGCGACCTCAGCCTGGAAAATGCCCAAGAGGTTATCTCTTCGTTCCCCGTGGGGGAGGTCCACAGCCCCCCCCCCAAGAACACGAGTAGATGCAACGTGCCTTCTGAGGTGTGCAGGCGTTGCGGCTTCGCCTGCCAGCAGCACAGACCCCCCCGCGGCACCACCTCTAGCTCAGTACAAGCCAGGCACATGGCGCATCAGATAACACACTGCAACTCTAGCCCCTGTTTGAACACAGCTCTGGAGAGGCTGCTGCGGGGTCGCTGCTGCTGCAGCGGCCTCTGGGCAGCTGCACTGAGTGGCTCCCCGGGGGGCTGAGGCTGCCTTTGCTGTTGTCCGTCTCTGCAGAGCATGTACAAGCACCTCTACTGGCGCAGCATGTCTGACGCAGACAACTTCTGGAAGGAGGTAACGAGCAGCAGCAGTTGCGCAGCACTTGCGTCTGAGAAAGGCCCATTAGCCTGAAAAGTGGCAGCTCTTAGGAGTCCCTGATTGCCAGTCTCGCCCCTGCTTGTTGTGTTTATTTCATTTTATTCTAAATCTCGCTTTCTGTTTGCATTTTCTGTCCCTTGGCTCTGCAGCGCGCTCTTGAGAAGCTCCGGTGGTTTCAGCCATTCACAAAAACGCAGCATGGCTCTTTGCAGGACGGCGACGTCTCGTGGTTCCTTAACGGCAAACTAAATGTGAGGACTCTGTTGCTGCTGCTGCTGCTGCAGCAGCTGCTGCTGCTCCTGCAGCTGCTGCATCTGGAGCGAGCGCAGCAGACCAGAGGCCTGCTGCTGTAGCCCAGCGTCTGGGACGCTGTGAAGCAGATACTTCGTGGCAGTTTCATAGCTTTGGGAAACATTATTAGCGACAGGAGGCCAGGCTGCATGCAGTGGGAATTTATGTTTCTTTCATGTTTATTTTCTGTTGTCTTCCCTTTGCCCCGCAGGTGTGCGACAACTGCGTAGACAGATGGGCAGAGCAGTACCCCCAGAGGGTGGCGCTCATTTATGAGGGGGACACTTCGGAAGACAGCCAAGTTGTGACTTACAAGGAACTGCAAGGCCAGTCACCGCGCTGTGCTTCGCTGTGGGGCCTGCCGGCTTCAGGTGTATGTACACCTAGCTAGTTTGTGCAGCCACGTGCGAGACACACCCATTTTGCGTGGCAGTTGTTTGCTTTTGCGTTCTCAGACCAAGTTTGCCGCTTTGCAAACTTGCTGAAAAGCCTCGATGTGCGCAAAGGCGACATCGTCACCATCTACCTCCCAATGATGCCTGAGATTGTCTACGCTATGTTGGCCTGTGCAAGAATTGGCGCTGTGCACAGGTTTGTTCCTGCGGGCCGTTCGTAGATAGACCAGTGGTTAACCATTTGGAGTACCCTGCGCAGTGCCTGCTCTCTAGTGGAGTTGAAAGTTTCACCTCTTGCCTGCCGCTCCCGTAGGGTAGCGTCAGCTGCATAGGGCCACTTAAGGAAATATTTAGCCGATTGTGTCTACGCAGAGTATCTGGCTCGAGAAAATGAAATGTTTTTTGTCTATAAAGCATATCTGCATGCAAGTTGCACAGCCCCTGTCCGTAGTAGTATGTGCCTTGTAGCGCTCATGAGGCAACCCTACAGACTGTACTTTTACGAAGTGGCTGTGGCTGTCTTTGCTTTGGACTCCCGTTTTCGTTTCAGTGTCGTCTTCGCTGGCTTTTCAGCCAATAGTCTGGCAGAGCGACTGGAAGATGCCCATAGCAGAGTGGTGCGTTATAGCCAGGCACAAATATGGCCCTCTTTCTAAGGACAAAGAAAACAAGCGGAGTAAACGAGACAGCAGACAAGGGAGCAAAATAAATGAGACTTAGGTCCAACAGAATTTGCGTTCGGTGCCTTCAACTCGAATTCAACGGGTTAATTGCATCCATGCATGCAACACATTTCAGGGCTTGCAACGTGCATTTTGTTTCGATTCTTTTGCGGTTTTGTTTTTCAGTTGATCACAGCTACTAAGGGCATGCGTGGCGGCCGCGTTGTCCGCCTGAAGCAAGTTGTTGACGAGGCGTTGAAGCTGTGCTCTTGCGTGCAGCACGTGGTGCTGTTTAGGAAATCCGGTCCGATTAAAATTCAAATCAACTAATAGAGCAGACAGTCACGATTACTAGCTACAGCGTATGTCCAGCTCGCTGCCTGTATAGGCAGCTTCGCCTTCTTTATGCATGGCCCACTGTGTCATGCCCTGCAACTCTTTTTGATCTCCCCCATTCACTGCATGCAACACGTTCATGAATGCCACATTTAGGAGTTTAGGGCGTTGTCGTTGTTTTTACTTCAGCGGAACCGTCGTGCTTCGTAGAGGGACGCGATCTGTCTGGCGACGACCTGCTGCCTCAGATGCGGCCCTATTGCCCGTTAGAGACGATGGACAGCGAGGACATGCTCTTCATCCTTTACACTTCAGGCTCTACTGGAAAGCCAAAGGCAAGCTGGCCACCCTTTCGCTGAATGCAGCAAGCCGGCTAGCTTGAATAAACAACAGTGTGGGGGTAGGGTGAACACCGGACTTGACTGTTTAGTTATCTCTGTCCTCTGACAGTGAGCACTGTGGTGCTTTGCGTTTCACCTCACTTTGCACAATTAGTTTTCGTTTGCTTCCTAAGATGTGGTCGCAGTAGTTGCTACTGTATGTTGTGGTGCTTGCTGCTTCGTTGATTTCTTGGGGTTGGGTTACGACCAACAAATTAGGTGCAGAAATTCTGAATGGTTCAGTATACCTGATTAGAAACAGTAACTCTCGCGCACAATTTGTCGGTTGCGCAGGGGGTGTGCCACACAACAGCGGGGTACCTGCTGTACTCTGCGCTTACCCACGAGTACATTTTTGACTACCACCCTGGAGACACTTTTGGCTGTCTTGCGGACTGCGGGTGGATTACTGGCCATTCCTACACGGTCTACGGGCCTCTCTGTAACGGGGCCACCACAATTTTGTTTCAAGGCATTCCCACTTACCCACATCCTGGCCGGTGCGTGGCGCGACGCCTTGTCACAGTCTCGAGTAAAGTTTTGCCTCTTTACGATTGCATTTAAAATCAGATCGAGTAAATTAGTTTTAGCGGGAAATCAGTAGGACGTGGATGTGCCTCAATAGCCGTGCAGTGGACTTCCAGGATCGAAGTGCATTAGTCTCTCCGCGTTTACAAATCGCAAAGATAAGTAACATAAAACATGGGCGGGTTACCTTTGCGAAAACTGTGTATTCTTCATTGTTTATTGTACGTAGTACAATATATTCAATCTGGTAGTATATTGCACAGATGTCTCTCACAATGCATGTTATGCATCGTACCCGAATCGTATCATACGGTGACTGAACTGTTTCAGCTTGCGAGTGAATTGACAGCTGCGTCGACTTGTCTATGGCTGCATTTTAGCTATTGGGAAATTGTCGAGAAATGGAAGGTGACGCAACTGTACACATCGCCGACGGCCATCAGGTGAGCTGGAGGAGCTTTGACCAGAGCACGGGGCAGATATGAACACAATCAATGGACGTGATTTATGCATATGCGAGGCAGCTATTACGAATGAATATAGCCAACTGAGATGCATTTACTGCATACACGTAGCGCGAGTCTGTGCAATATGGTTGAACTATGCCTCAGCAGAAGCCTTTTCTGTCGGTCTAATGTATGACGGTTCCTGTTGCTGCTGACTATGTCTTCCATTGGCTGGCTGCTGCTGCTTAGGGCTCTGATGCAGCACGGAGAGGAATGGCCAAAGAAGTATGACCTCAGTACCCTCCGGGTGATCGGATCTGTGGGGGAGCCCATAAACCCAGAGGCGTGGCGCTGGTACTTCACCAACGTGGGCAGGGGGCAGTGCTCAGTAGTCGATACGTACTGGCAAACTGAGACGGGGGGCCACGTCCTGGCCCCCTTCCCAGGGGCGACAGTCACGAAGCCGGGCTGCGCCATGGTGCCCTTCTTCGGCATTGAACCGGCAATTGTGCATCCTCAGTCGGGAGCTGAGAAAAAGGGAAATGACGTCTGCGGCGTGCTATGCTTGAAGCGCGCCTGGCCGGGTACGAACAGCCACATCAGTTGCTTGCGTCATGAACATACGGTTTTGCGATCTTCTGAGCAAGTGGGCTAGCTAGCTGACTAGCTGAAACCGCGTTTCCAGCGGCTTCAACTGCAGTTTCTGTTGGCTGCCTGACTACTTGTCGGGTGTTGGCACGTGCAGGCATGTGCCGCACTGTGCATCGCGCCCACAAACGGCTGTTGAACACGTACTTACAACCCTACCCTGGCTACTACTTCACGGGAGATGGTGCCTACAGAGATGCGGACGGCCACTATTGGATAACAGGAAGAGTGGATGACACTTTGAACGTCTCAGGTACGGGCAAATCTGGCTGAGACGGAAGCCCGCAGAGCGCCAGTTGCAAATTCTTGCTCGAGCTGGAAAGGCAAAGGGCTTAGACACGGAATGCAGGAAGGATAGTCTGCGTTTCGTTTTTCTCTTTTTTTTTCGTTAAATAGGGCATAGGCTAAGCACAGCTGAAATCGAACATGCATTAGTTCAGCACCCGGATATCGTGGAGGCGGCGGTCGTTGGAACTCCCCACGACGTGAAGGGCACTGCAATTTTCTGCTTCGTCATTTTGAAGGTATTTATTTGCCATCCGGAAGCAAAGGCTCCATCTAAATGACGTAAACACGCGTTAGTGGCTGGTCCATGCATTTATCGTTAATGCCGGCTGCCTTCATGCCTAACGGCCCGGCTCTGAACGTGTTTCAATTTTCCTCAAATTAGGCTGGCGCTTCGCGTGCTGGAATCATTGAAGAGGCGAAGCTGCAAGTGAGGAAAGAGATCGGCCCTATCGCGACCCCGGACTTCATAGTGGTGGCCCCAGGTACAATACGAGCACACTGCGCCTCGCTGTGGGCGTTTGCAGTCTCACATTTATTGCCTTTTAAGCTGCTTCATGTTGTGTTTACATAAGCAGAAACAAATATAACGCAGCAGTAAAGAGGCTAGTTTCTGCTGAGGAAGCAACAGCTCCAGGTCCTGTGCTGCTGGTCCGTCTCAGGTCTTCCCAAAACTCAAAGCGGCAAAATAATGCGGCGGCTGCTGCGGAAGCTCTGCTGTCTGGACACCAACTTGGGGGACACAACGTCTTTATCGAATGCAGACATCGTTCAGACCCTTCGCGGGATTGTGATGGAGACTGTGATTAGTGAAAGAAAGCAGCAGCATGCAGTGGCCCATGGGACTCCTGGGGCTGGAAACAACGCAGCAGCAGCAGAAGGCAAGGCCCATTGATCCCAACAATGCGGAGGAGCTTTCGGGCCCAGGCCTCGCCATTGTCGCGTGTTTTATGGTGCAGGGTGCCACTGGCCCACCACGTGCAGGCCAGCGTGACCAGTGGTCAGCGAACGCCGAGACTGTTCGTGAGACTGTGCGGCGGAACTATGCTGCGTTAGTAAAATGCCACTTTTTGTAGAGTTACCTGGGGGCGTTCCTGGCCGCGTTGTGGATGCGCCGCTGGTCTTTTTATCCACAGTGAACACGAAAGCAAGCAAGAGATATCGTGTTGCAGCAGCGGCAGCCTTGCTGGCTGCTTCGTTGTGCGCGCCCACTGGACAACGCGCGTAAAAGCCCCTTGTAAAATAAAGAGACGCAAGCCTGTGTGTCTTTGGCCAGCGGCCAGCGGAAAATTATTTGAACTAACTTTCGCGGTGACCAAGGGGTTCAGCCTCCCACAGATGAGCAGCTTTACTCTCTGTTCTCTTCCGGGCCCTGGGGACTCCGGGCTTTCTACTGTGGCACTGTTTGTCTCTATCTGTTCGGGCTGCCTTCACCTCTGGCTGCGTTTGTTTCTGTAGTTGTCTGCCGCCGATTGCTTCTGCACTAATTGCCTGTCGCGCCCACGCAGCGGTGCGCGGCGGCTCTTCCCCACTGCCTCGCTGATAACAACAGAGTGGCTCTTGTGTCGCTTCCGTTTCTTTTTCGCGGTTGGCCCCCCCCTCAGCTGTACGTACACTGCAGAGCGCAGCGGCTGCAGCGACGTGGCAGTTCACCCCCACTTATTGCTCTGAGCGCGTACGCAGATGCATTTTTTAGGAACAGAAATAGTGCTGAATTCTTCTCTCGTCAGGCTCGCTGGTGCCAGGTGCAGTTGTAGTCGAGCTGTACGTACACCCCAAGACAGCCGCTTCCTCAATAGTAAGAGCCAGTTAGCTCACCTTTTGTCCTCTACGTCTTGGATTAACATTAATTATTCATTAGTTATTCATTAATTATTCACAATCAACGGCCCTTGGGCCAGACTATCTCTTCAGATCTCTCACAGGCACCCCATCTGCGAATGATTCGAGGTCAATTGCTCAGGGACGATGAGATACGGATTTTCTAAATTAAAAAGAAGCAAATTTAAAATTGTTTTTTGAATAAGAGATCCCTGAGGCCTCTTGCCGCCTGGCCTCGCACCAGCAGCGCCCACCAGACCATGCTTCGAGCATGTGTAAGAAGGGAAAAGATGAAAAAAGAAGTCCTCAGTTACATTTTCGAGCTAAAGAAAGCCGCGTCCCGTTGACACTGTGCTCTGAGAGCCCCTCAGAAGTTCGAAGGACTCAGAAAGGATTTAAAAGCATTTAACTGCAGAGAGCCGAAGGCCGCGAGCACAACTTAAATGTCGCGGACATGTGACAGCACCTGAAAACAAAACAAAAGAAAATTGACGAGTTGCTGCTCCCCGCAGTTTTCAAAATTGAGGTGTACGTACAGCTGCACTGTGGCGCATCGACGCACTGCACAACGGGGAACAGACATACCATGGCACATATTTCTTCCGTGGTTTTTGGGGGAGGCTGCCGCCGTCCTTTGGTCTTAGTCTTTCGTTTTTTTGCACTCTTGGGTTTGGTCTTTGCTTCTAGCTTGCCTGAGTTGGAGCTTGCAGGCTCTGCCGTGGGCAGCTTTCTTCTATAGTTGCCTTGCGCCCTTCGCAGAGTGTCCTTGTCGAGCGAGAGTTTGCGCAGGCGGGACTTGAGGTCTCTTTTGGGTTGAAACTGTTCATAGAATTTCTCTTCCATGTACTCTTTCACTCGGTCCCGCTTTTGGCCGCCCGCGAGGGACCCGCAGCGGCTCTTCCCAGTTGCGGATTTCGACTTTCTCAAAGTCTGCAGAGGCGCAGTGCTGCCCGTAGGCGCCACCGTGACCTTCATCTTGAACTGGGATGAACTCGCTCTTTGAATTGAAACTCAAAATCACTTTTATGCCATAGTGAATGCAAGGCAACTCCAGGTGTATGTACACTCTGGTGCCGCGAAGGCCGTAGCGATCGAGTAAAGAAACCTCCGTCCGGCAATTGAAGGCCAGAGTATAAGGTCTAATGCGGCTTATCCGTTTCCTTGTAGCCGCGTTGAATTTCGCTTAACTTGAACTTAAAAGGACTTAGCTTTAGGGTTCCTTTAGTGCAGCTTCCCTTTTTTTGCAAATTGAATTCGCCGCATGCAAGTTAGGGCTGGCAGTCCTCGGTGGACCGGGGCCCCACAAATGACATCTTTGTGCAGATCCGAGGCAGCAAAAAAGCTAATAAACTTTGATTTTAACACCAATGGGAGCTATTTAAGCCAGGAAGCCGCTGCTTTCCCCTATACCCCCTCCCCAGTTGCTGCGAGTGACTCAGAGAGCCGCAGCTAACCACTGGCCGGCGAAGCTGAGGGGCGCAAATCGCCTTCAGCAGCGCCATGAAAGGCGTGAAGGCCGACGCTGCAGGCGGCGCCGACCCCCGGAAGTGGGCGAGGGAAGGCGTCGAGCGCCACGGTGAGCGACAGCCCAGCCTGCAGCAGCAGCAGAAGCTGCACCCCCGCTGCAACACATCTGCCGCTGCTGCTGCTGCTGCAGCTGCTGCAGCACCAGCAGCTGCTGCAGCTGCTGCAGCAGCAGCTGCTGCTGCCGGTTGACTGCCTTCTGGCTTTCGAGCTGCTGCTGCTGCTGGTGCGTGGCCGCTGCTCGCTGGGCAGCTGCCGCCGCTGCTTGCCTGCCCCCCGTCCCGCAGCAGCAGCAGCTGCTGCTGCAGCTTCGTTCCGCAGCAGCAGCAGCTGCTGCTGCGGCTTCGTTCCGCAGCAGCAGCAGCAGCGAAGGCCCGCGCTGGCGTGCAGCGTGTGCTGCGCGCAGGCCCCGTGACTTCGGAACCCCCCACCTACCCCAGCAACAGGGAAGTGCCGCGGGCCGCGGAACTGGACGAGGCGGGGGCGAGCGCTGTGCTGACTGCGCGGCTGCTGGCCAACCACTGGCGCACTGGGGAGTGCAGCATAGGCGAGCGGCGCAGCAAGCTGGAGGGCCGGAACTACGGCACTGGGAGCTGCGCCTGCAGCTGCGACTACGAGGCCCAGAAGGAGGCCATTGTCTCTTACTGCGGCGAGGCCTTTTTCCCCGCGGAGCTGCTGCACAGCAGGTTCGTGCGCGTCCCCAGGGGGGCCCCCCGGGGCCTCCCCGGCGACTCCAAGCGCCTGCGCCTCAAGGAAATGGAGCAAAAGGAAAACGAAAACAAAGCTGCGGACGACAAGGCCAACGCAAACGCGAAGGCCGCCGCAGAGGGTGGGCGCTGCTGCTGCTTGCTGCCACTGGCTCCCGCTGCTGCTGCCTTCCTGCTGCTGCCTGCCCTCCCGCTGCTGCCCGCTGCTGCGCACAAGGCCCAGAACTTGCGCTTTGCAAGCAGAACCCGAAGATCCTCCGGCCTCCACGTGGCGCTGGAGAGGCGCTCTGCTGCAGCGGATCACTCGGCTGCCCCTAGCAGCTAGCTAGCTAGCCAGCTAGCTAGCTAGCTAGCTGGGTGGCTGGCTTGGTACCTAGATCCTTGCGAGCTTGCGTTGTGTTTGCGCTGGTGGCTCAGAGGAACTGTTTGCTGCTGAAGAGGACGACTTCGGGGGCGATGACTACGCGCACGACTACTACGCTGATGAAGACCTCGACGATCACTTAGATGATGGAGACGACGGCGGGATCCTCTAGGGAACTTCATTCGACCTCTTTGTCATTCATTAATGCAAGTTCATGCCGCTGTGAATATTCTCCAGCTTTTTAGTTGAAGCAGTTTTTGCCTGCATATGCCCGGTCATTCCTGACACGAGGATGCTACTGGGCTGCGGCTTTTCTTTTCTCGTCAAATAACCACATAAATTTCCAAATTTAAAATTAGCAGTTCATGAATTTGAAATGATGCACTGTTGTCGTCACTGACATGACGCTGATCTTTGCTGAACTTCAAACCGACCGCCAGTATCCGCTGTGTCCACGGACGAATAGCATGTGTGCCTAGCTCTTTGAAAGTAAAACAGGGAAAAAGGAAGCGGTGCATTCATTTAGTCTTAAAGCTCTGCAGTCTCGTTAGGTTAGCTTCTGTGGCATCGCTGAATGGACCTGCTTTCGCGCCCAAGCAGTTTCGTCGTACGTACAGTGCGGGCGGCTCATGGTATCAGAAAGCAGAGCCGCTCGAGGGGAATTGGTGGAGCCTTTCTAGAGGGAAGCGCGTCGAATAATTGGATTTAGCTGGTGTTCGTGCTTTCGGTTGCTTTCTTCACTATGAAGGCGACTGCGCTGCTGTCACTTGCAGTCGCCGTGGCTGCATCCTTAGCGGGCTTGGGTCGCAGCCAGGAAACTTCGTCCGATTTTTATGTCTTTAACGATGCCTCTGCAACTTCTACGTATGGAAGCGGCTTCGAAGCTTCCCGGGCGCTTCAGCCGGGGACCGGCTACTGGTCTAGCGCTGGAGATCACGCAACTGACGAACAAGGTAGACGCTCGCAAACATGAAATATCTGCATCTCCCACGGCTTTCTTCCCCTCAGTCTCATGGAGTGGTACCCTCGAGGTCCCCGGAAAGCTCAAAGGTGTCCGGATCCGCTGGGAATATGCACCTCAGGTTTGCACTGAATTCTTATTTGTGTGTGCCTGGCTATTCCGTGACTCTCTCTGCTGCGCTCGCGATGCAGGAAGTGGAAATATCGACGTCTGCTGACGGCCAGAACTTCTTCGTCGTAGTGCCTTGGAGGCCGACTGCAGGCACTGGCGGTAACCTTGGGCGAATAATAATTCTTCTGGACTAATTAGATAGGGCGTTTGCAGCTTCTTTTGACGAAATAATCTCCTTCAGCGCTCCCCAAGAGTGCCGCGTGGTCGTGGTCACTATGCGGAAGGCTGTGAATCAGTTTTTTGGAATAAATCAAATAACTCCAATTGGAGCCGGGCAGCCGCTGTTCCTGATTGTCGCGGGGGTGACAAGTCCCTCAGGGGAAATGTGTCTGGAGGCAAGCCTCTTCTTCTTTGTCTCATTTCCCCAAGTCCAGTCTTGTGGACTTCGCCGCAGGTTGAAGGGGGGAAAGTGAACAAAGAGGGCTCGCGGGTAGTCCTGAGTCCGTGTGAAGACGCGATAGCCCTGGGGGACGGCCGGGTGGGTTTTTGAAAAGATCTTTTCTTCTTTTTCTTTTCATTTTCTCTTTTTCCGGCCTTCCCCGCAGGAGCTGTGGCTCACAAATCCGCAGGGGCAAATTGTGAGCGCCCGCAGCCAGCCGCCGCAGTGCCTGGTGCTGCAGGGCGGCGACACAACAGGCAAGTGGCGCTGGAGAAGCAGATTCGAACTTGTTGCAAATTTCAAATTGAACTTCAGACGGAGGAACTGTCTCCCTCTCCAAGTGCTCGCGAGCCCTCGAGGAAGGCGACGGCCGCTCCTCCTGGGCCTTCCAGGCCAACTCCCAGCTGCGCCTCGCCAAGGGGGGGTCTTGGTGCATGACTCAGAAGAATGTGAATGGCTCCACTGCGGGGCTTGCAGACCTCATTGCTGGTTCTGCGGCCACGGCGGAGGCCTCCAGCAGCGCCGATGAGGCCCACGGGCCCCAGAAAGCTGTCGACAGAGACACGAACACCTCCTGGGCGTCTGAGCTTTTCGAGGAAAGCGACGAGTTCCCAGTCACTCTGGACATCGACATAGGTCGGTCTTCTTTCGTTTGCTTGCGGAGAAGACCCACAAACTTGCGGTCTTCAATTTTTTCAGGAAAAGTTGTACGGCTCGCCGCGGCGCGAATTGAATGGGAACAGCCAGCCCTCGCCTACACCATTCAAGCCAGCGTCGACGGCGCTGCCTACATGTGAGCTCGCCTTCAATTCAAAAGTTTGCACTGCTGAGATTTAAATGCGCGATTTCGGGGCCAGCGACGTTGTTCACAACGAGGCGAATCCCGCGGTGTCCACCAAGGACCCCTTGGACGGCGTGGCCGCGCAATATGTTCGGATTAAGATGCAGCGACCCCACCCTCGGCTGGGGAAGTACGAGGAAAAGTACAGATATGCAATAAAAGAAATTAATATATTTGCTGGCAAACTTGAGCCCGCGGTTGGGGACTGCCGCGAGGCCGCCAGCTCCGACGATGCGCGAGACAAATATTTCATATATTATGTTTCTGGGTTTGATGAGGACTTTGCGCGAAAAACGACGACACTGGGAGTAGACGTGATTGCAAAGAGAAAAAGCCTTGAAGAAATCTCCGGAAAACTCGAAGAACTCTTCGCCGAAATGGACGACTGCCGAGAGGAGAAAATTCAGCAGAGGCAGCGCATCAAGGCCTTAAGAGCAACGGCTGGCCGTTTAATGGCCAACTTCCAGCTAGTTGCAGGAAGGGCAAAAGCGTACTCCATTATGCAACTACTGCCAGGTAGGCAGTGCCACAAGGGATCTTTTTCCTCATCTCGCCACTCACTTTCCCGCAATTTCTGCAGGCGACTCCGCAGAACACCCCGCAATGGACTGTTACTGGGCGAAGTCGAAGATCCCTGAAGCCGTCTCAGGCTTCTACTGGTAGGCCACTTGACACTTGCAGATTCGATTTTGAAGGCAATAAGCCCTGATGACATTCTTGTGCCGCCCCCAGGGTGCTCCCCAGATGCGCCAGCAAAGCCTTGAGGGCCTACTGCGACATGGAAAGCAGCACAATGATTTATGTAATGACGAAACAAGAAATTCCGAGAGTTCGGGGACGCCCAGCGGGTCTCTTGGCAAGCGCCAACGACATCCGGCAGGCCTGCGGCTCCGTGGGCCTGCAGCCATTTGTGCCCCGCGCGGTTTCGCAAATTTACAGTGCCATGAAGGCTGCGAAGCAGATGGGTAATGAGTTGGAGTGAACAAAAGACTGAATTAGAGAAAAGGAGAATTCACTTCATCTTCGACTTTTGTCTTAGGTTTGCAGCTGGACAATGAAGAGGGAATCCCCATCGCCTTCGATCAAGGCTGCAGCTACGCCGCCTGCTCAGGCACTTTCCGGGACTTGTACGATGGCACAACGGACTTGACGGGATTGGCGCTCGCGCTTGCCTCCGCAGACAGCAGCGTGACATCTTCTTCAGACACAGCAGGTTCATTCTCATTTCGCTTTTTCGGCTTTCCCTGCTGATTCAACTTTCCCTACTTGTCACTGGCTTTCCAGGTCTGGGCAGGGCCAGCAACGGGAGGCTGAGCTACTTTGCCTTGGCGACTACGCCGTTGGCCGCTGTCTTGTGTTCAACAAATGCCACAGGGGAGGCCGAACAAGCGTGAGATGAATTTGTCTCAGTTTTTTACGGCGAGCACAAGTCCCTTCAGACCAGCACTGGCTCTGTCGTGCGAGGACGTGATGGAGGGGCACGAGGCCTTTAAAGGAACTATAAGCGTAAGTCTAAAGTCCCTCTCAAGGCGTCTTCATGCATATTCGCTTATTTTCAAAACGCGACAGACAAACATCCTGGTGGAGTGCCCACCAGGCTGTGCGGAGGTTGCAGCAGCAACTGTTTTTGGATCTGACGGCATTTATGCCGAAAGGAGCGCCATTTGCAAGGCTGGAATTCACGCGGGGCTCATCAAGAGCGGGGGAGTATTCAGTGTCTCAATTGAGTCACCCATTTATTCTTTTGAGGGCTCCAAACAAAACGGAGTGGAGTCGAAATCACTGCAGCTTCCCCCTGGCGACGCCATAAGAAGCATGCGGGTATTCAAGATCGAAGAGGTTCGCAACTGCCTATTTTCGTCTTTACAAAAAAACTTGGTCCAAAATGAGCAAACAGGAATGTCCAGGGGAGGCAACAGAACACTCAGCCGCCTCCCCATCTTCGCAGCTTCCGCTGACGTCTTTTGTTGAACTTGAAAGCCGCACTACAGCGGCACCCACAACAGCCTCTGCGGCTGCGCCGCCGGTCTATGACCCGGCCTTGGCTGTGGCTTTCGAAGCAGCTAAAGACAGAATCTGTAAGTGGCATCCCAGTTGCGTTTCAGACCATTATAGGCACTACACAACATTTTGGTCTCAGTGGCAACACACGGCATTGATCCTGTGGCCGTGAAAGACGCCAAAACAGACGCCGGAATTACTGTAGGGGAGGTGCGCAAGCGAGTGAAGCCTGCAGAGCAGTTAAGCGAAAGCACGTACTCGGAGGCAGTTCAACTGTGAGTCAAAGAATCTCTCAAACCCTCCACAAAAGCCCGTTTCAGAGTTTCTGTTTTAGATTTAGAGACGTAGAAACGCTAACTTACCGGCTGCTGGCGGCCTCGGCTGGGGCGGCGACGCGGCTGGAGTACCTGCAGGAGGAGCTGAAACACCTGGAAGAGAAGCACATTGCGCTTCAGGGGTTTCAGAGTTACCACCTGAAGCCGCAGGACACTTCATTTGAAAAAGAATTTGTAGTCGAAGACAGTTCCTTCACCAGAGGCGGCCCCAGCCACTGGGGCTTCGCTCTTCTCGTAGCTGAACACCCAAACGTGTTCGGGCAGTCTTCCTCTATTAAGGGCGTTTCGGAAGTGCACGGCACATACGCCTTTCTGCGGCGGCGAAATCTTTATGATTTTGTGCTCCACGTGGAATTCCTAGTGAGCCGCAGCAGCAAACTTCTCTTGCAAAACAGATCAACTCAAGCACGAACTGCTAACTCCAGCCCATGGGAAGCGGCGGCGTAGGCATAGGCTTCCGAATGAAGGATCGGGACAACGGCTATCTCTTGCTGATGCATCAAAAGGCGGGGAAGAAGAAACTGCTGAGATTGGATAAAGGAGTCCCAAAGATAGTCGCAGAACGTAAAGACGGAGGTTTTGTGCAGGGCATTTGGCACAAAGTACGGATTCAGGCGACTGGCGGCCATATAAAGGTTTGCGTGGGGGATGAAGACGCGGAGCCCGCTGAGATATTCTCGTAGGGAATTGTTCCGAGTTTCATATTTCAAATTTATTTTTAAAAAATGTGTTTTGCGCAAACGGCAAACGTCACGGGCCACCAGAGCACTGGACGAGCGGTTTGTGTCTGGCACTGTCGCCTTCTTCTCCTCAGCAATGCAAGACGGAGTATATTTCGATAAACTGAAGATCGAGGCCCAGCCTTGCCAAACGCCGCAGGTTTCGCCGCCGCCGCTCCCCCCTGTGTGCTCAGTGTTCGTGGAAAGCTACTTCAGCAGCGTCAGCGCGCTGTATGCCATAGTAGACGGGGCCGACAAGGGCGGCTCCGTGGGCCACTGGGAGTACCGGGTAAGCAAGTGGAGCCGCAGCTGCAGCTGCAAGCCACAGAGACCAACAGTTCGCACGCAGGACGGAGTCCGGGGAAGGAACAAAGTATTGGTGCAGCTGAACGCAGTGCGCGGGCCAGCGGACGTCGGCACCATCGCTGTGCTGAAGGGCCAGCGAACATGTAAGCATTTCTTTTCACTTAACTTTAAAGAAAGCAACTCTTAGCCCGCTTTATTCAGGCAGAAACGGCCGACTGTCTGTCGACTTCTTCCCACAGTGCACCAAAGGGACCATTGGTGCAGTTTTCCGGTATTCTTCGGAGGCGAACTACATGACAGTGGAGGCAACGGCCACGGAGTGCGTTAGCAAGTCCATTAAATGCACTAACTGCTTTATTTCAGGATTTAATTAATATTAATTTACGATGTTGTGCGTGAATGTGCCTACTTCTGTCCACTCCCACTCCTCTGGCAAGCCCACCCCTTCGCCCGCAGACTCCGGCTGCGAGTTGTCGTGGACAAAAAAGCCGCAGTCCTCGCCAGGTCGCCCCTGAAGCTGCAGCTCAACGGCTGGCACTCCCTTCAAGTTGCATTTGAGGGGCCCCGAGTAGTGGCTCGCGTAGAGACCCCAGCTGGGGAGACTGTGAAGCTGCTGGGGGAGGCCTCCGCCCAGCAGGGGTTTCCCAGCGATGGGGCCATCGGGCTATCTGCGTACAACTGCGGAGGCGTTGCCTTTGATGAGTTTGAGCTGTCGCCGCTTGTTAAGCCTGAGTCCGAAGCGGACTCGAGATTCGCGGGCGTCACCTCTAGAGTGGCTGCCACTGAGAAAGCTTGGTATGTTCTGTTCGCCGCGTCGTTTCTGACTTCGATTCTTGCATGCAACGCATGCATGTTGCAACTGAATCGCTACATAGGTCGCCGTGCGTCGAGAATGTGCACATTCTGGCGCGGCGGGAACACTGTGCAGAAATGCTGCGTAACAAGGAGCGGGAAAGACAGATCTTGTGCCCCATGGAGTACTGCCACGAGTGCTGCTCCTTCCAGACAAGCCTTCTTAGCCCTAGCCACAAGATCCGCTGTGAAAAGAGCTGCATGCGGAACAACGAGGAGGCCCACAACACCGAAGCGCTGCTGCAGGCAGCCGTGGTGCGCTGCGCCAAGGGAGGCGACAAGAGATCTGCTCTGTGTTCGCAAGTACGCCGTTTGCATGAAAAATGCGAATAAAAAAGACTACTTTAGAACTTTCAGGATGATGATGAGTGCTTGTTTCAAGCATGCAACCTCTGTTGTGAAGGCGCCGCAGCAGGAGACGGTGCCTGGTCGCGTCAAGAGGTGTCCGAGTGCCGGAGCCACTGCCGCCCCCCCAGCCCTTCTTCGGTCTCTTTGAAATCAGAAAGCGAATTATAAAACAGAAATGCAAAATAAAACTGCTGCAAACTCCAGACAACACCAACGCAGCCGCATGCACGCCTCCTGGAAGCCGAGTCGGCTACCAAGGCCTTCCCCACCACGTCGACTCGGGAGAGCGCTGTTCACGTCTACCCATGAGAGGCCCTTAGCATCTTGAAATGCCGGGATGGAGAATCCGTGCCTTGCTGTTTGTTGTTGAGCTACACCGTAGTTGTGGCGTTAGCGGCGTCAAGCAGGGCGGCGGTTGCTCGCCTTGAATGCTGCAGCAGCCAGAAGAGGGGCTCCCGCCGCGGCGTTATGCTGAAATTGCCTCCTCAGAGCCTTCCAGCCTTTCCCCTCGCCACTGCGTGTGAGCCGCTGCCACACAGATGGGTGCCTGAGTGCCCCTGCTGACCCCCCGCCTTGGCTCTGCTGCTGCATGCAACGACTGACGGCCTCAGAACGCGCTGCTGTGCCACTCCTTTTGCTACCAGCAGCAGCTGGCGCCTCCATGGCCGCTTAGGGCTCCCATCCTGAGGCGTCTGAGCTGTCAGTGCACTCCGTGGGCGCCTGCGGCGGCCCCGGCTTCTCGAGGGAATTCCAGAAAAAGGCCTTTTGAAGATGAGGGCAAACAACGACACTCCCAGCTGGCGGGCTCTGCCCAGCAAGGAGCAATCGGTCTTCAAGCACATGATGGTGGGCGATCTGTTCCCCTACCGTTTAGCCCAGCAGAGGCAACTGTTGCTGCAACTGCAGCAGCAGCAGCAGCAAAGCAGCAGCAAAGCAGCAGCAAAGCAGCAGCAAAGGCAGCCCACGCTTCCCCTAGTTGGCCAGTGTGGGCGTCTGCGAGCCGCTGTGTGTGGCGCTTATGGCCTGGCTTTGCTGCTGCCGCTGTGCTGTTTGGCTGCAGTGGCTGTATGAACAAAAGCACAACAAGAAAGCCATCAAGCAGGCAGACTTGATCCTCAAGAAGTTTCCCGAGCACGGGGAAACGCTGTCTATGAAGGGCCTGATCTTGTCAAACATGGGCGCGGAAAAAAAGCAAGAGGCTTATGACTATGCCAAAAGAGGCCTCAAAGCGGACATTACCAATTGCGTTTGCTGGCACGTGTTGGGTCTGCTGTACAGACAGGACAAGTACGCGGAAGCTGGTGGCTTGCAGTTGCACTGCACTTGAAAAAGGACACGGACAAATGCGCAAATTCACACAAGTTAGGAAGTAGTTAATAGTGGCCAGCTGCCCAGGGCCCCTGCAGCTCCTGCTGCAGCTGGGGCGGCCCAGATGCCACACTGAGGGAGACCCACACAAACCACTTTTATAATTTGAGGCCCCTGGTTGCCTCCCAAAGATGCTTATGTGAATATAAACGGGAACAGTTGGGTGGAGCTGCCAGTGCTGCTTAGACTGTCCGTCATATTATACATTTTGCGCCTTAACTGTGGCTTGGATATTATCTATTTGTACAAACTTGTGCATGCTTGATTCAACAGATACTGCTGCTAATGCGGATCCTGTTAAACCCCGTGAAACGAAGGCAGCTCGTGGCATGGTGCCTCTGCAGCTGCAGCGCCGCTGGAGTTTCAATGAGCAATCCAGCCTCTCTGTGAATGTGGCAGCAGATGATTTGACACTGGGGTGACTAATTCAAGTTGAAAAGTCTTTTGTGATTCATTATTTGGTCGTCAGGGACTACGCAGAGGCTTCGAAGTGCTTCATCCAAACCCTTCGGCTGGACCCGAACAACTACCCCGCGATGCGCGATTTGGCCAACTTGCAAATTCACGAAAGAAATCTGGACGGCTTTCTTGAGACCCGCAGGCACATATTGAAAGCCAGATCCAGGTTTATAAGGGAGTGGGCAGCTTTCGCCATGGCTAACCACCTGGTAATATCCCTTCACTTGCAACTTCAGTTCGGTTGAATTCATTGAAACACCTATTGTGCCTTATTCCAAGCAAAAGAACGCCTTAGTTGAGTGTAAAGAATGAGCTTGCCAATTGCTAAGCATAAAAATCTAAACTTTTCATTTACTCCGGCATAGTTTATTTGGGGTTTGGCCTGGGTCGGAAGTTGAGGAATGGTGGGGTTCCATAAGAGCGATTTGAGCTGAAGGCTTTTGGCCAGGTCGCTTCATGGGAAGGCATTTGCCGAATAAGGCAACAGAAGAACGATTAAAATGCTGTAATTGAGTCAGTTCAATAAGTCAACAAGACTAAATTGTATGCCTTTTCGTGCGTAGGTGGGTCGCTTGACTATAGCCCAGGAGATACTGGGCGAGATGGAGAACCAGTTTGGAGAGTCTCGCGACCTAGACGCTTTTGAGAAGAGCGAAATAATGCTGTACAAGGCCGCCATACTTGAGGAGATGGGGGAGTACAAGCAGTGCTACGATTATCTCACCACGAGGGAACAGTAATACCTCACGCTAAGAATACTTCTGCTGAGGCTCCCGCTGATGCCGCTTCTGCTTTTTCTGCCTCTCTTACTGCTGGTAGCGCCAGTTCCGCTGATGCTGTTGTCGCTACTAGTATTGTTCCTCCTACTGGTGGTGTTGATGTTGATGCCGCTACTGTGGCTGCTGTTTGCGTTTCTTCTGTGGAGTGTTTAGCCTATACGGTTGCTGCATCTGTTGATGCTGCCGCAACTCTTTTTACTGCTGCTACTGCTGCTGTTGCAGACACTCTGTGTGCGTGTAGTCTCCGTTGCTGCGCAGAGCCATACTGGACGAGACGGCGCTACTAGAGGCTCAGGGCCGAATGGCGATTTTCCTGCGGCAATTCGATTTGGGCCGGGTGGCTTACAGACGCTTAATGGAGATAAACAAAGACAACGAGCGCTATGTGTTGGGCTTTATGGCTTGCGATGAAAATGAAGATATCAGAAATCTTTTTGCCCTGCCCAAGTGCTGCCTCAGTGGGGCGGTGGGCAAGGCCGACTCCCTCGACTACTTGAAGCTGTAGGTTGCTACTCCTGCTACTTATTTGTTCGATTTTCTCTTATGCTTTTATTTTGTCCAAGATAGCTGAAAGCGCTCAATCTTGAACCTTGGTAAATATGTCCAAATCTCTACGGACCTCTCAAATGTGCTGACCTCGGCCAGTGGGCCTGCTACTGTTGTTGTTCCACCGAAGTTGCGCACGAGAGCTTGTGTGCGTGTTTGTGTCTCCTGCTGCTGCAGCAAGCAGCTCCAGGACGGCCGCATCTTTGCTCCCGTTTCAAGTGCTCCCCCCTACATATATTTGATGCCCGGGGCGCTGCGGTCGTCTGGGGAAGACAGCGGCGGATGGCTAGAGTCTGCGTTTACCCGGCAAGCAGCAAGAGAGGCGCAGGTGCAGCAGCAGGAACTGCAGCTTCTCAAGGGCTGGAAGAGCAGTGGACACACAGAGGCAGCTCCCCCTTCCTTCAGGATGGTCAGGGGGCTCAGTGCTGAAATGCAGGATCGCATTCTGAGCTACTTTGACGGTGGGCAGTGGAAGCGCCTATTATTTTTTTAATTTAGTGTTTCATTCAAATAATAGTAGGAAATGTGATTGACACAAATACCAATAAGATCGAAGACGATGTTATTGCAGTCCATTTGCAGCTGTAGCTAATGGAGTGCGTCACGGGTGCGACTTCATTGCTGCGTTTCAGTTTTGCTTGACTTGAAATCTTTTCCCCAAAATGTGTTTTCTTAGTTTTACAATTTGCGGGTTCTTTCTTATGTGGTTTGTCTGCGAAGATTTGAAGGTACAGCTGTCGCCCTTTCCCCTGCTGGACTACCTGAAGTTGTCTTTCTTGTCTGGGGGCCGCTTCGTTGCTGCGCTGGATGATTTCTTGCGGCCGCAGCTGCGAAAGGGCGTTGTTTCTCTTTTTGCTGCTTTGCGGCGTCTGTACACCCGAGAGCGGGCTCACTTGATCGGCACCGTGCTAGAGAGTTACGTTGAGCACCTGCAGAGAAGCCCCTCTTCATTTGGGCCTTTACTGGGGGAAAGGCGCGAAAAGAGGCAGGACGAGCCGCATTGCAGCAACACAAGTGACTCCAGCAATGCATGTTGTGGAAACTCCAAGAATTCCGAGGGTTTAATTCAAAATAATTCCCTTAATTGCTCCCAGGAGTCTGGAGAGAAACCCGAAATTGCTACTGCTCTCCTCTACGCCTATATGCTGATGGCGCAGCACTACGACTTTATGGGGAACACTGAGAAGGCTCTTCAGACCATACAAAAGGTGCGCCAGCAGCAAAATAGCAGTAGCAGCGTCAAATACAGAAAAACAATATGCAGTCACAGACACGGGAAACGATAGCGGTGCCCCGCCATTGAGCAGATCAGAACGGCCTTAGCAGCCGAGCTGCTGCGTTTGGCTGCGGGCAGCCAAGAAGAGCAGCCAAAGCACATCCACTCTGCCTTTTGTTTGTTCTGTGGCCCACCAGGCCATCGACCACACTCCAACCTTTGCAGATCTCTATCTCGTGAAAGGCAGAATCTACAAACACGCCGGCGCCTACCGGCTCGCTGCGGAACTGCACGAGAAAGCGCGCAGCCTTGACTTCGCAGATCGGTAAGCCCTCTATGTGCTTTCTGCTGCTGCAGTAGACTGTGTGGAAAGGCAACAGTGGAGGCCGCCGGAGCCAGCACAGCTGCAGCAAACAGCATGAGCCCGTTGGCGCCTAGCTGTTGGCTTCTTCGGTCCGGCTTGGCCTTTCTGCGCGAGTTCCGCTGCACGGGCTTTCAAACTCTTCTCTTGCGCTGCTGCTCTGCTTACCACATCTGGGTGGCAGACCTTCGGCTCTCCTCTGAGCTTTCACTACCGACCTTCCTGTTGTGCTTCTGTCTTTGCCTGTTTTCTTTCGTCGACAGCGCAATGGCAGCAGCAGCATGTACAGTAATTTACTCAGAAAACGAATTTGGCCGTCACTGTAGTCGACTGCTGCTTTTTGTTTTGGCGTCAAGCCAGCGACGCCGTTGTTGCTGCTGCTCCTGGTGAGCGGGAGGTCTGGTTTGTGCGCTGGGGCTGCTGGTGCGCTGCAGCTACTTGAACTCGAAGTGCTGCAGCTACCTGCTGCGAATCAACAAGGCGGAAGAAGCCGTCGCCACAGCCCGCTGCTTCTCGCGCCAAGCCGACCCCGAGGACTCCCCCGACCTGCAGTGCATGTGGTTTGAGTTGAAGCGGGGCCGGGCGCTGGTGCGGCTGCAGCAGCACCAGCAGGCGCTGATGGAGTTCAACGCCACCATCAAGCACTTTGCAGATATTCACCAAGACCAAGTCGACTTCCACCCCTACTGCCTCAGAAAATCAACTTTCAGAGCCTACGTCAACTTCCTTCGCATGCAAGACAAGCTGTGGTCACACAGGTACCAGATGGCGAGAGCTGCTGGGGAATATGCGTGACGGCGTAGCGGCTAGGGCTTAGGGTTTAGGTTTGAGGGTTTATCAAATAGGGTTTAGGCTCCAGGGCTAAGCAGAATGCGGTTTCGATCTTCCCGAGCTAGCATGATTGAGGAGGGTTAGGGCTTATGGTTAAGGGCTGGTACATATGGATTGCTGAAGTATTGCGGTTTGCTATAGTGTCTGAATGCAATTAAATTGAAGGTGAACTTCATGGAACAGATGCAGCTTGGATGCAAGTTTAATAAACTTGACTTAATCTGTGCTTGTGATGAAGATTAACCGCAAACTACTACTTCTGTGCAGTTCTGCCCTGAAACAAGTGCAAGGAACAGCCAACTGGAGTTGCTGCCTCTTAATAAATGAGTTGACGCACTGGAGTGTCAAGTTATGGGTCTGTTGGATCTTTATTTGTTTTATTTGTTTGTTACTTTATTTATTCAGGTATTTTAGGGAGGCTGCCCAAGAGGCGCTAAAGATATACTTTGCCGCTCACGATGGGCTGATAGAGTTGAAGCCCGAGGCTGCTGCTAGGCCCGCTGCAGAGCCACAGAAAGAGGCTAAAGCGAAAAAGAAACAAGCAAACAAAAAGGCTAGCAAAGACCAAAAGGCAGCAACAAACTCAGAGACACAACCTGAGGAGGCCCCCCTTGCTGCTGCCCAGAATATTCTTGATAAGTATATTTGCTGCTGCGCCACCGACCCCCTCGCCCGCGCAGCTCATTATCACTTGGCCTATAGGAAAGGTAACGTAGATAGCTAAGCAGAAATTGCTGAAAAAACGAACAAACGCATAAATTATTGATGATTAACGCGCTCCAAACTGCTTGGTGGATGGCTGTTTCTCCTGTTCCACCGTCCAACTTAGTCATTTGGTTTCGCTAATCATGTGTTGCACGAAATGCGAAAATAGTGAACTCATTATACCTGTGTTTTTGCTTTATTTCCCTGCTGCTGTTTCGCGATGTCCGCTTAAGCGGTTTAGGCATCTCATGCTGGCTGCTGCCACTGTGTTATTCGTTACTGGTGCTATTGCGTGGCCAACTGCCGGTGCTGCTACGTCCTCTGCTGCTGCAGCTGCTGCACCATCTGCTGCTGTTGCTACTGCGTCCTCCACTTCTGCAGCTTTTGCTCTTACTTTCGCCATTGGTGCTGCTGCTGATGTTGCTGCTGTGTCGTCCAGTGCTGGTATTGTTGCTGCGTCAACTGCATCTGTTGCGGCTTTGCAGGCTGCGTGGTCGGGATGGTTTTGGCGCTTTCGCGTCTCAACAAACTAATTAAACGTGAAGGCACAAGTCGTTCCGTTTCCGTTCTGCTGCCGCTTCTCTACCACTTCTGCAGAGCAGGTACTTTTGCTATTCGGCTTGCTGGTATTAGTGCTCCTTTTTCTTTCTTCCTTTTTTCGTCCCCTGCTTTGGCCTCCTCATTTGTTCGTTTGTTTAAGTATGGCTTGCTTTGATATGCTTATGCTTCTTTAGGTAGTGATTCATGGCTCATGCCTCACCGCCTCTTGATTACTGCCTACACACCGAAAGTGTCTGCATACTGCACTTATCTCGTGAATGTTGTTTTCTTTCGACATTTGGCCTGTTACAACTAGTGTTGTGCTTCATTTGTTCATTTGCCGCCTTTTCCGTTTATCACTGAGTGTATGTGCTCTTTCTGTGCCCTTTGCTGCTACTTTGTTTTTTTGTCTTTGTCCCTGGTCGAGTGAGGAGCAGACAAAAAAATCTTGTAATTGTCATCTTTTCCCCCAGAATTTTACTGTAAAAACCTAAAAGTATGGCATCTATACGCCTTTGCTACTCAGCGGATCTGTCACTCATACCCAGCGAAATGGAGGCGCTGTGCATCTCTGCGCTGAGCGCCATCTTGGAGACTCCTCTGTCACCCTCTGGCTTGCAGCAGCAGCTGCAGCAGGCAGCAGACAAACTGATGGGTGATTTGCTCCTGCAGTGCAAAACAGACGCTCTTGACTTCCAGCTGCGCAAAACCGGTGAGATGCAACCCACGCTTATCAGCGTTTTGCCTATTGTTATTGCCATTACTATTGTTTCTTTTCCAATGCTTGTTCACATTCTGCTTACGTGAGCTCTTGTTGAGCAGCTAACTAGTCAAAATAACAAGCCATTCAGTACGTGTGGTCTGCTGTGTCTCGGAGGGTCTTCGTGTAAAATCGATGTTTCTTGTGTAAATCAAAATACAAATTCAAGTACAGAAGCAAATATATAGAAGCAAATATATAGTTTTACATGACAATAGGTTCATTCTAGACTATAGTATTTGGAAACTTGATATGTGTGTAATGAGATCTGTGTAATGCTCGAACTTGAAAAAATAGATTTGATTCTAGAAACGAAAAGCCCATGTGCAGCACCTGCTATCTAGCTGTGTCTCCATTTCTTCTTTCCGGCTAATTGAATAATTAATTATGTTGCAGCGCTTGAGGCCTATCTTTTGGCGGGCGAAGACGTGCCTGATGACTCGCCGTTGCTATCCTTCCCCACGCTAACAGCAGCAGCAGCAGCAACAAGCGCTGCTGCTTCTGGCGAGCGTGAGCGTCCATCCCTCGCCGACTGCGAGGCCCTGTTGCAGCAGCTGCAGCAGTTTAAAGGCAAGGAGAAGGCCTGCGAGGCACTTAAGGTAAGTTTGCCTTCGCTGCTTTTCCCCATTAGAATAGCCGGCCGTCTTTGCTGTTTCTCTTTCTCAACAACAAATAGACCAAAGTTCTAGCTGCGTGAATCTAAGGATCGCACAGGATCGCACATGCATATCTTTTTGGTACCCATTAAAGATGTGCAACGTGCACTCTGTACTGTAGATACACCTGAATAGCTGTGCACCCGCGTCCATGTGTTTATGACTCCACCATTTATTTGAAGTGCCGCTGCTGTTTTCCGGCACGGCGCAGGCGGCGTGTCGGCTTCGTTTCCCCTTGTCTGATTTATTTAACAATTCGGATTAGCGAACGGGAGGCAGAAATACACAGGCGAAAACCGGGGCGGGACGACTCAGGCAACTAAGAGACAGCACCGCCGCTGTAGGCCCGTAGGCCAGCTGGCGAGTGCTTAAAAATGCAGGTTGAAGAGGTAACGGACTTGGAAACAAAAATAAACTGAACAAAAAGAGAATAGATGGCGGCTCCACCACTAGACCCCCTCCCGAGGGTTTTGTATTCGCCTCGACGCGCTAGCGGAGAGTACAGCGGAGATCTACTGAACTGAACAGAAACAAATTGTTACTTTTGACGCTTTCGCTTCTATTATGTTCATTTGATTGCCTCTGAGGCCTGAGTAACTGCCGCCGCTGCCGAAACGCAGAATGGCAGGAACAAAGCAAAATGGGGTATTAGCTTCGAAGCAGTTTAGAGGAAAGTACGGAGCATCATTTTCATTCATTATGCAGACCGGCGCGGTTTACGGCGTACGTGGGCAACTTGGTGCCCCTATGGATTAAAATATTGTTAAGGCTTCACTTGTTTTAAGTAAAAATCCGCATTCGTTATTTTGGTTCCACTTTTCACATTAAATTTGGCTTAAATTTGAAATTGCAATGAGAAAGGCGACTCGCCGTCGCCCGCTGAAGGGATGGATGACCGGGCCGCGCGCTGTAGCGGTGGCAGGCGCGCTTCAGTGCAGCAACTGCATTAATTTGATTAGTTTATGCTATTTCTTCCTTAAAAAGAGTAAATAGGTTACTAAGCAAAGAGGGAAGCCAGCAAACAGCAGCGGGAGCGGAGGCTCGCGAACAGCGCTGCTGCTGCAGCAGCCACAGCAGCAGCACAGCAGCAGTAGCAGCATGCGGCGCTCAAGGTGCGCGACCGCGTCTGTGTTTAGGGGTTGAAAGCAGAAGACTAAGGACTAAATAAAGAGATAGGGCTGAATTTTTGCCTTGACTATATATTCTTCGCAACTAACCACCAGTGGCCATCGGGTGCTTCTAACATTTTCCCGCAGCAGCAGCAGCAGCAATAGCAGCAGCTGGAACAGTAACAGCAGCGGGCATGGCACGAGGGGAAGGCAGAGCAATGCAACTAGGGGCCTTAGGGCAGCGCTAGCTGTTATTGCGTACCGTTAACTGCGTCTAAAAATTAATTAATTTGACTAAATTTAATAGAGACAGAGACGAAGCAGAAAGGGAGTTACTGCTGCTGTGGGGTTTTCAAGAGACTGCTGCTTCAGCCGTCGCCGCTTGCTGCCAAACTTGAGGTGTACATACACCTGACAATTCTTGGCGCAGCAGCAGCAGCAGCAAAGCAATAAAGAAATAATACAAAAATAACTTGCAGCGAGTGGTACTAGGTGGTGAGTTGGCTGCTGCTGCGGCGGCGCAGCCAGGACAGCAGCAGCAGCAACAGCGGCTGCCGCTGCAGTTGCTGCTCACCTGGGTCTGCGGGTTGCTCTGGGGCTTTAAAGCATTTGCATTTGCTGCTCCTATAAGGGGCACTGTTAACGATCCTCTTGGTGCCCACGGACTCAGCAGCAGCACTCTCTTGCTGCAGCAGCAGCAGCAACGCGCCTTCTGCCCTTGTGCATGCTGCCGCTGCTGCTCCAGTTGCTGCTGCCCTCAACGCAGCAGCAGCGCAGCAGCAGCAAGACAGCAGAAGAGTTTTTTTATTATTGGAGATTGACGCCTGGTTGCAGCGTCTGCAGTAGCAGCAGCGCAGCAGCAGCGGCGACAGCGGCAGCGGCGCGGCGCCCGTCATTGGCTGCAGCAACGCGTAAGTCTCAACATGAGGATTGCGAGGATTTGCTGGTGGCCTCTGGAAGCGTATCCTGCTGCTGCTGCTTCGAGCGCTGCTGCCGCTGGCGCTGCTGCTGCTGCTGCCTTCACTGCCGGGCAGTTGCCGGAGCGGCCAAGCAGCAGAAGTAGCAGCAGCAGCTGTACGCGTGTTGTCTCGTGAATTTACTGGAGCAGCAGGCGTTCTGCACTTGCTGCTGCTGCAGCAGCTGCGGCAAGACCGCTGCGTTTGCTGCAGCAGCGGCACCAGCAGCAGCGCGCTTGCCTCCGCTGCAGCGACCGGCTGCCAGCAGCAGAGGAATCAATAGCTAACAAATTGAATGTCCAGAGCACTAACTTTTACGAAGACGGTTTATTAAAATAAACGAAACGAAGCAGGGGAGCAGCAGGTCTGAGTTTGGAGACCTTTCAGCTGCTTGGCCTCTGGGGACTCGGGAGTCGCGGCCGTAGTAGCACAAACTCATCTTTGCTGCTGCTGCTGCTGCTGCTGCAGGGTTTGGGTCGCTGGGCTTCACGTTGTGTTTGGAGTTTCTGCTCGTTGCCGCGCCGAAGGGGCCTCGGTGCCTCCTGCTGCCGCAGCAGCAGCAGCAGCCGTAGCAGCAGCAGCAGCTGTGGCAGCAGCGACAGTTGCAGCCCGGGTGCAGCAGCAGCGGGCTGCTTTGTGTATCTTCGCGTCTTAAAGGGTTGGAAGCCTCAGCTGTGGGGTGTCTAGACACCCGACCTCCTCTACGGTCTGTAGTCCTCCGGACTTCGCTGCTGCTGCTGCCGCAGCAGCAGCTGCAGCAGCCGCATAAGCAGCGGCCGCAGCAGCAGCAGCAGCAGCAGGGTCACGTTATTCGAGATGGGGAACAACGGCAGCTCCGTGTCTGCCTTTGGCTTCGGAGATCCTCCACCCTCTCTGAACGACAGTAACGCAAATGCCCACAGAGGTTTGCTGCTGCTGCTGCTGTTGCTGCTGCTGTTTCTCCTTCCTGCTACTGCCTCTAGCTGCTGCAGCAACTACTGCCACGCTTTGCTGGCGCTTCTCGTCGGCGTTTTCTTCTCCGTTATTGCAGTCGTTAGTGTGGCTTCTTTCGAGCGATTCTAGGGTTGAGGGTTTGGGGTTTCGATTTTGGGTTGAGGGTTTAGGGTTTAGGGTTTGGTTGTTGCGTGCAGTGGCAGTCGCCGAGCGCCGCCTGTTGGCTGTGCGGGGGCCCCCTGGGGGCCCCCAGAACTTTTCGAACTCGTTGTTAATGCCGCTGCGCTGCGACGTGGCTGCTGCTGCTGCAGCAGCCGGCAGCAGCAGCAGCAGTAGCAGCAGCAGCAGCCCGCCGCCTGAGGAGGGGCTGGAAGGCCCGCGCACTGTACGCCGGCCCTGCTGCAGCTCTGCCGCTCCTCTTGTGCTGTCGTCACCAGATGCTCTGCGGCTGGGTAGTAATTTGCTGCCGGATGACTCTGCTGCTGCTGCCATTGCCGCAGCTGCAGCAGGTCGCAGCAGCTGCAGCAGCTGCAGCAGCTGCAACAACATGGCTCTGGCGGGGGTACCGGGGGTCCCGGTGTTACCGCTGGAAGCAGCAGCAGCAGCGCAGCAGCAGCCTCAGCAGCAGCAGCACCACTTGGGCGCAGCAACGTGCTTCGGCGTGCCGTTGCATGCACGAGGCCTCAGCAGCAGCCGCAGCAGCAGCGAAGGTGCAGCAGCGGACGCGTTTATGTGCGGGTCCGAGTTGCTGCCGGCCGCGGCGTCGCCTGGGGGTTTGGCAGCAGCAGCAGGAGCAGCTGGAGCAGGGACAGCAGCAGGAACGGGAGCAGCAGCAGCAGCAGCGGGAGGCCTGGGTGGCTTCCCTGGCGGCTGCGTGCGGTGTTCTCCTCATTTTTTTGGAGCAGCAGATGCTGCAGAGGCTGCTGAGGCGGAGGGTGCGAAGAGCGGGGTGTCTGGTGTACAGGGTGTATGTGCTGCTGCTGCTGCTGCTGGGTTGGGGGAGAGCAGCCACGGCTCTCTGGTGCAGCCTGGGAGCAGCAGCAGCAGCGGCTATGGTTCTCCGAACAGCAGCGGAGGGACGGCGGGGGCAGGGAGTCAGCACAGCCTGATGCCGTTGAGCAGCAGCCCGAGCGGCGGGAGCAGCAGCAGCAGCAGCAGCAGCAGCAGTTGCTGCGTGGGCGTGGCTTACCGCGGGAGCCCGAGCGCTGCGGGTGGCGGCGCGGGTCTGGTTGGGAGCTGTTCGTCGAGCGCAGCAGCAGCAGCAGCAGCAGGAGGGAGCCCGCCGTTGACGACGCGGGCGAGCGGGAGCGCGAGCCCCGGAGGCGGGGGCGGGGGCGCAGCAGGGAGCAGCGGGGGCAGCAGCACGAGCAGCAGCACGAGCAGCAGCAGCAGCGGGCGCATCGGGGGGGACCCGCACTGCGTGGAGTTCGCAGTGCGGAATTTCTGGAAACTGGCGAAGACCCAGAACGACCTGGAGTCCCCCACGGTGGGCCACTGCAGAGGCTTCGCCTTCCGGCTGCTGCTGCACCCCCGCGGCACTGTCGGCACTGACTCCGAGGCTTCGCACTTGTCAGTGTTTCTCGAAGCCGTCAAGCAAGACTGGTACCCGGAGGACTGGGTGTTTCCGAACGTGCGTTTCGAGTTGACGGTGGTGAACAGCAAAGACAGCAAGCTCAGCGTGACCTCCTGGGCGCACTGGACCTTCAGCGCGGAGGCTACCAGCCGCGGCTGGCAGAAGATGATTTCCCACGCCCGCCTCACTCGCCAGCAGGGCTTTGTGGACGACGAGGGCACTTTGTTGGTGCGCGGCAAGGCGGAGCCTCCCTTCCCCGCGCTGTGGTCTCGGGGGCCCCTCTACAAGCCCCACAGGGGTTGGGAGTACATTCCTGAGCGGGCTGCCAGGGCCCTCGAGGAGGTTTCTTCGTCTTGCACTGTTGCTGCTGCTGCTGCCGCAGCAGCAGCGGCGGCCGACGGCACTGACACCCACAGGCACGCCGCTCTGCACGAACCCCACCCCGCCCAACAGCAGGCCAGCAACGCAGCTCCGGGCAACGCCCAAACCGCACCCACACCCGGAGCAGCAGCAGCACCAGGCACCCATTTCAAGGCCCCCACTGCAAGCCTCCTCTCCTACGTCGAGCCCATCGTCCCCGCCCTGCAACCTGCGCTGGGCGCAGACTGCGTTGCCCTCTTTGTCCACGTAACCACTTACCCTCAACTCTAATCCCTATCCGCTAAACCCGAAACCCTAAGCCCCCGAAACGCCG